TAAGACGAAGAGACCAATGAAGAAGTTAGATGTTAAACAAAGTGGGCCGTACAAGGTAGTACGGCAGGTAGGTTCTCATGCTTGTAAATTGGAATTACCAGGAACGATGGCAGGTATCCATGATGTATTCCATGTCTCCTTGCTCCGTCCTTATCACCCTCCAATATTTCCTGGTCAGCAAGCTGAGCCACCTGGCCCAGTAGAAGTAGACAATGTGGGAGAGTCTTGGGAGGTAAAGGATATTGTAGACTCTAGAGTAAATAAGAGATCAGGAAAGTTAGAGTACTTGGTGGAGTGGTTAGGTTACGAAGGAACAGACGACTCAGTATCATGGGAACCAGTGGAGAACGTCGATGGAGCTGACGACATATTGGCGAAGTTCCACGAACTTCACCCTACTAAGCCGAAGGAGGGGCGACTGCGAAGGGCTAGGAGATAGAACGTACTGCATACAACATAGGATTACAGCTACGTACCGCTCACTTGTCCTTACTCTTACCCTTACCTTTTCCTTTTCCTTTCTCCTTCGATCTACTCGGTCCCGCGGGATTGGTGTGGAGGCTACCGATGACCGAAGGTAGATCGAGAGTCTCAGACGGGAACGCAGTAGAGAGAGAAGCATTCCATGCCCGATTCATAGCCCCAAAGAAGTCACCGAAGTCCTGGACATCTCGAGCAGCTTGCATGCTTGGAGTCCTCCACAGAGAACGTATGGTCCGTAGACACTCGAAGGGAAGACTGAGGAGGTCGAGAGCAGTCTGGGCGGAAGCTGGGACACGAGAACTACTACGGCGACCTAACCAGTCAAGGGACGGTGGTGGCTCATACGCCATAGGAGTGACTAGGAAGGGAGTGTCGAACAGTCTTCGGCGAACATCGGCTATCTCAGTAAGGCTTCGGCGAGAGACGTCCGCTAACCTTGTCCTTGCTTCGTCGTCCAGAGCCCCAGTGTTGACTACATCTACTAACGCCGCAGTGAGATTGTTTAAAGCGTTAGCTTGACGAGAAGAGAAGTCAAGCAGGAGAGATGTATCATTTCGGGCGGCCTCGAGCTGAGTAGTGAGACCGAGGACGAGAGAACGATAAGTGGCGAATTCCTTTTCGTCCTCAGGAATACGGACGTCCAGGGAGATACGAGGGTGGACGAGGGACAACCGGGGAGCAGAGGGACCAGCACGCTGAGTATCTTCATTTTCCACATCACCATCATTGAAGGCAACCTCCTTCTCTTTAGATTTCCCTTTTGATTTCTTTAAAGAAGACTTCGGTGTCTTCTGGGAAGCAGAGGGAGGGGTGACGGGAGGGGCCGCCGAAGAGGCCGGAGGAACAGAAGGACGCCGACTTCGGGTGCTGTGAGCCGGAGGAGAAGCTACCACTGGAGAGGACGGACGTGGCGCCGAAGGACGAGAGGCCGAAGGACGAGAGGCCGAAGGACGGGAGGCCGAAGGACGGGAGGCCGAAGGAGCAGAGGCCGAAGGACGGCGAGAAGACGAAGGAGGAACAGCCGGGAGACGTGATGGGCCGGCCACAGGAGCGAAGGGCGACGGCGACGGAGGCGACGGGCGGAGGTCCGGCGAAGTACGGCGAACCGACCGGAGAGACGAAGACGGTACCCGCGAACGGGGGACAGACGCTGGAGTCTGGGGAGGGGGGAGAGGAGAAGCGTCGAAGGGACGGGGCGGGATGTCCCGGGCAGAGGAAACGGGACAGAAGGAGCAGGGGCCAGACGTGCATGAAGCACAACGGAGGGCCTTGTTGTGTGGCCTGACTGCCTTGAGGCAGGGCCAGTTTGGACGATTATACGTGATAATCTCACGTCTACTAATTAGCAGGAGTAACTTCGGCGTAGTACGAATAGGTGGACTCACCGGCAACGATCACACGCTTCGTCAACACCAACCGCGATCCAACGACCAGGCTCGGACTTCATCTTCTCCCACAAGTACTCTTCTTCCCGCAGTGATCTCTTCACCCGTTTGGGCGAAGGCTCCCCTCTGGGAGAAGGGGGGGGAGCAGCGACGGGGGCGGCGGGAGCAGGACCGGCGGCGGGAGCAGGACCGGCGGCGGCAGCAGGAGCGATGGCGGCGGCAGGGCGGGCGGCGGCAGCAGCGGCAGCAGCGGCGGCAGCGGCGATGGCGTTGGGGGGGGGGAGAACCCCGGAAGAGGAAGAAGAAGAGGAAGAAGAAGAAGAGGAAGAAGAAGAAGAGGAGAGGGAACGGCGTCGTTTCTGGCCCACAATTTGAGCAGGGGGAGGGGCAGGAGCGGCTGCGAGTTAGCAATGTCTTGGAGAGCTAAAGAACAGATAAACAAGGCCAAGTTCGGCGAAGGTGTGAGAGGTTGGACGAAGAACTCACGCTCAGGACTATCTACGTTGTTGTCCTCTACACTAACCGCCACCATATCATCATCCGAGTGTTCCTCTAACTCGGTTTCACCCTCCGACACGATTCTATCATCCTCATCACTATAATCACCCCCTTTTCCTTCGAAGTCTGACTGATCGTCCGACTCCGAACCACTGAGCGACTCCTGGTCGGAGGAGGACGGAGACTCACCAGGACGAAAGGCGGGCGTCCTGCGGCGAGGGCTGGCGGCAGGAGGGGAAGCAGAGCGAGAACCAGGAGGAGGAGAAGCAGAGGGAGAACCAGCGGGAGGACCGGCGGGAGGAGAAGCGGAGCGAGGAGGCGGGACATCGCCAGACGGCTCCCCCAAAGAAAGGGTGCCGAGGCCGAGGGAGGAGACTTGGCGAGATCTGTCGCCGAAGGAAACTGAACATCAGCCAAGTCCGGCGAAGTAAGGTAAGTGTCGAGGAATAACTCACGAGCAGACGACACCATACCACCAAAGTTCCTCATGGCGGCGAAAGGGTTAGATGTAGGAGTAGAAGGGGCCATGACGTTAAGATATTTAAATGAGAATAAAACTCGAGGCGATGATTCAAGGTAACAAATCTGTTTTCTAGGTAAGAGAGATAGAAAGTTTTGAAAGCAGATGGGAAAAAGAGAGAAGCTCGACGAACTGCTCAGTATTTAGTATAATCAAACCTAACCCCTCGTCGTCAACATGCAGCAAACTTCGCGTTTCATCAACAAAAGGCATCGCAGGGACGATCAAAATTCCCACGCTATAGTGTCTCATCTCAATATAAGCGAGGGTTACTTCGACAAACAACGGTGTTGTTCGGCTGCCATTCAGGAAGCGTGTCTCACCTACAAAAGACACAGGGCTTCTTACGGCAAACCTCGACGAAGTTAGGGGAGTCTCATTGTCGGGTTCTGGAGTGAAAGGAGGCCCAACTACGAAGTGCGGCGCAAAGAGCAGAAGAGTGGAGGATGGTCATGGGGAGGGAGAGAATGGGGTACTACGCTGCTAAGTTCTCTTGCCACGACAGAGGTGTAATCGCTCACGAGGACGTTCGCGGCTAAAGAAGGGGGCGACTGTCACGAACTACGTCGTGACACCTCGATTACTCCACCAACAATGACCCTCCTTTGGCCATCAAAACCCCATCACGCCTTAACCTCTTTACTCTACACGTAACTCAGGACTTCTGACACCAAGTACGGCGAAGTTAGACGGGGTTAGGCTAAGTAGGGACAATGGGAGCAGAAGTACGGCGATGTTAGGCGGGGTTAGGCTAAGTAGGGACAATGGGAGCAGAAGTGCGGCGATGTTAGGCGGAGTTAGGCTAAGTAGGGACAATGGGAGCAGAAGTGCGGCGATGTTAGGTGGAGTTAGTCGAAGGAGGAAGAGGATGGCCGAGGGCTCGGGGAAGTTGGACGAAGTGCGTTGAAGTACGTCAAAGCGCGAGAGGGTTGGATGAACGTCTAGGAGGAGTAGATAATATTAGCTGAGAAGATCGCTGAAGTTCTTCAGCGATCCTTGATTGTTGTCAGTAGTAAAAGACAGATAGAGATAGCTATAAATCAAGATACATCGCCATCAGTAGATCAAAACCCTAGTTAGAGTAACTACGCCGAAGTACGCCGTAGTTACACCCCTTTCGACGTCTGCGCCCTCCTGGTTGGGTGAGACATCGACTCAGAGCGTGAAGTTAGCCGAGGTTCGTCGACCGTCGGTCTATTAAGAAGTAGTTGTTCGACGGCCGTGACACAATGGGAGCAGAAGTACGGCGAAGTTAGACGGAGTTAGGCTAAGTAGGGACAATGGGAGCAGAAGTGCGGCGATGTTAGGCGGAGTTAGTCGAAGGAGGAAGAGGATGGCCGAGGGCTCGGGGAAGTTGGACGAAGTGCGTTGAAGTACGTCAAAGCGCGAGAGGGTTGGATGAACGTCTAGGAGGAGTAGATAATATTAGCTGAGAAGATCGCTGAAGTTCTTCAGCGATCCTTGATTGTTGTCAGTAGTAAAAGACAAATAGAGATAGCTATACATCGAGATACATCGCCATCAATAGAACAAAGCCTTAGTTAGAGTAACTACGCCGAAGTACGCCGTAGTTACACTCCTTTCGACGTCTGCGCCCTCCTGGTTGGGTGAGACATCGACTCAGAAGCGTGAAGTTAGCCGAGGTTCGTCGACCGTCGGTCTATAAGGAAGAAGTTGCTCGACGGCCGTGACAAGAGGGTTGTGTTCAGCACTCATTTTGTAAAAAAAAAGAGAGATGAAATACACAAGGTTGAATCACTTGGACATTTTGGGCAAGGCATGTGGCAACGGACAACCTGAGACTTCCCGTCCACGGTACGCGATCTTGGAAATAGAGGCAGATAAAATGTCGGACCCTTTTGGGTACTTATGTATTCATCATCTTCTACATTATTATTACTACTCTCACATTATAAATTACTCTTATATCTCACTCTGATCAGATCAGGTTATAGCATTCTTGTAGAAAAGGTCACACCTCGTCATAACTTATCTGCTGGAAGTATAATGAGGAAAGTTCGAGCCAGTACAACCCTCATCATCTCCAGTATCATCGTCCTTCCCCGTGAGTCTCTTTCCGTCACGGCCGACGGGCTCCTTGCTGGCTTGCTAACCTCCTTCCAGTCTCTTTCTATGGCGGTTTAGCTCTCAAGGAATATTTCTTAGCAGGCGAGCTACCCGTAGAGGAGAGGAAAGAATTGGCAAGTTTGGCAAGTAGAGCTAGGATAGCACAGTGAGTTGTATGGCAATCGTCCGTTAAGCTGACAGGTATCAGGCTTCAGCAAGAAAGATCTGGGTTGTTGGAAGAGGCTCAACAGTTGGATCAAAAGATGGAAGAGGTGAAAAGACGGATGGGTGTGTGAGGTCGACCGTATATGTCTTCTCATCACTCGGAACGGCATACAAGTCATTCATCGCCAGTAGTCCAGCGTGTAGGGAGGAAGACAAGCAGCCGTCTTCGAGGGCAACTGGATTTATCGCTTGATAAACACAAGAGGACGACGTGGTTATCGAAGCTTCATGGCAAGGAGGGGACGTGTGGTCATGACAGTAGTATCGGACGCAGCTCAAAGGGGAAGGGGAGATTGGAAGATGATCATACGTATACGAACAAAGTACATACTTGTACAACACAACCTCCCTTCTCATATATTCTTCCCATTCTGAGGGGGCGAAGTAGGAGCATCGATATCCCCATGCATTAAATCTTGTATCGTATTCTCCAACTGATCTATTCTAGCGGACATTTTGTTCACTGTGATCAATCAGCCTTTGCTCGTTCGTTGTGATATTTATCAAAAGTCCGTCACTATCCGTTGTTCCTTAGAGGGTTCAAACAGCGTGGCTCTGAATGGAGAAGTCTGTTGATTCACTCTGTTTGAAGATATAGAACGTATGCAGTCGTCATATGTACGATGAGACATGTGACGAGGGGTGGTTCCACATTCAGCGCACCAAAATGGAAACCGGAGAAGGGAGGGGGAGGACGCTATGAGTATGACACTAACTCTGGTATATCATGATAGAAGGGGGATCAAAGTGGAAAAGACTCACTACCATCTAAAACTTCTTTGGACATATCATCAAATTTCGTCTCCAATTGACTGAGTAAATTATCGACCTAACATCAACACCCATTTTTCCCATTTTTGTTTGTATTTTCCCTTCTTTCCTCTTCCCCCCAAGCTCCCTTTTTCCCGTGATCCTTCCTCCTGATGTCTGCCATATTCAAGCAATTTTGTTATGAATGTAGTAGATGAAGTTTCCCATGATACATAACCTCATTACTGCAAAGGGGGACAATCATCCAACATGCATTGATGAATGGCCAAAAGGGATGACGAATGAGGTGGAGGAAAGAACTCACAAATCCACATAATTCACCAGGACTCATGACGTCTTTCGGTCCTACAGTCGTCACGGGAGGTTTCTTACCTGGTGTATGCGCCGAAGGTGGTTTGACAGTTGATAACCTTTTTGTCGAAGGTAGAGAAGGGGTTAGAGCTGGTGTGGATGGATTTGACATGATTATCTCTATTTCTTCTGGGTGATGTTGATACAGGAGATGACGATCGCAGGTGAAATGCTTTGAAGGTGGACTTGAGAGGGTGAGATAATATACTTGGGATTAGATATCCTTGATTTAATTCGACTGTGTGATGGATATACTTACAGATGGGTCTAAGAAAGATAGTTCAAATGGAGATGGATTAAACGATGGAATGGATGTCAAATCCAACGCGTCGCGTGTTTGACAACCCTCTGAATCTTGCTTAGAGACGGTACATAGCGTGGTAATGACGACGATGCAACATGAAATGTACAAAACTACAACTCTTATTCTCACTGCTTCATATACCCCCACTGTACTCGTGATGCTATGATATGTTACGGGGATTTGAGACGGATGTGATATAACGAGACAAAATGCTTAGATGAAAACCAAAAGTCACGGCGTATCACTTCCCACCTCCTAATCGTATTTTGAAACTCGTACTGGGAGTCTGTAACCCTTCTCCGGACGTAGTAGGTGCTGAGAAATAATCGTATGCTGGTGTAGCTGCCTGTGGTGTAGAACTCGCAGGTGACCGATTAGAAGTGGTCATGTTGAACATTGGACAATTTCGATTGGCCTCTTTTTAGAGTCAGCTGAGTTTGAATGAAATGTGAAAAGGGGCAACATACTGGTATGACCTATTTGACCGCAAGCACCACATTTACGTTTCTGTCCATCAGCTACACGACTCTAATAGACCGATGGACGACAGATATGATATGGGAATATGAGATAGTGAGTATTGGTAGCTTGGCAGTCAAAGTATAGAAGAAATGGTATGAGGTCAGGAAGAATGATGGGAATTAAATGATGTTGACAGATGAAAGAGACACAACTCACCCCTTCTACATCCCCTTCGACAGGTTCTAACTCTCTAGCACTATATTTCTTTCTAGCCATTCGACGTTGTTGATTCTTCTTCAATCTTTCAATCTCACGCATCATCCTAACCCATTAGCTCATGCTCATACTTCCATGAAAAAAAAGACTGACGCTGCTTTCTTCAACTCGTCCTCTGCCGCATCACCAGAAGGACGTAATTGTTCTGCTTGTCTTTGATAGTCATCCAATTTCTTATCCTCTACTCTACGCAGATACGCTTGAATCACAGCTGGATCTCGAACGATTTCATGTTGTAATTTTCCTTTTACCTGATGATCAGTCCTCGACCTCCAATCTCTAACGACAATGCTCAACAGTCTGACTATCTTAGAACTTCTTGATAACAAGGAACATACGCAATCGTGTCACCGAAGATCATGAAGTATGCCATGGCAATGGAGGAAAACAGACACGGAAGAGATACTCACCAATCGACTAATTCTCATCACCTTACCTGCACTTGGATTCCCAGTGAATGTACTCTCATCCATCGAATGTGCCGAAGGAGACATATCCCTCGGACTGTCCACATGCATAGGTGTAGCAGTCATAGATTCTCCTCTTGAAAACGCTCGTCTACTATCGGTCCTGACAAATCTCGGACCAAATCCTACAGGCGGATGAGGCTGGACTTGTGTTTTCGCTTCATCTTCCGCTGTCACAGTGGGTGATATAGGATTGCTCAAAGCGCGACATTGTAAATCCCAAACTCTACGTTTTTCTTCTTCGTATATCCTTCCCTGTTCGGCATTTGAGATCTTGATGACGGAACCTGCCGGTGCGGCTCTTTGAGCTTCGACTGAATGTCAGCTTGTTGAACGAACTTCTAGTAATAACCAAAGAGGAAGGATGACTCACGTCGACGGCCTTGTTCAGTCTCACCAGCTCGAAGGAAATACGATTTCATATTGGTCCTGATGAAGCTAAATCCTTCTCCCCGACCGGTAGGATCACCTTCACCATGAACAATCAACCACGCTTTCTGAGCTTCCGCTTTCTTGTAATTCAGCGTTGTGGACCATACCGCCAATTGTTGTTCGATATCTAAACCAGCTTCGTCATCAAACTCTTCCGAGGCGTTTCCTTCTGCGGTCTTGGCATATCCGGCATCGTATAGATGTCGTTGTCCCACAAGCATCGCTTCGTACAACATGGCAGCTTCAGGGGTACACAATAATTGGACCACTTTCCGATCTTTGGGAAAGTCGTAAGTGTCGGACAACTTCCAGTGACCTTGGTTGGGAGCGGTCCCTCTAGCGTAGTCGAGGAATTCCTATGTGTCAACACCCCAGCTCTCTGACCTTCACCCAGACAGCAAGACAGGGATACAGTAGGTTGCATGTCTACACTCACATTCCCTTTGATGTTCAGACGTTGACGCATTTTAAGCTCAGTCTGATCCGGGAAATACTTATTCAACTTGCTCAGCTTCAAACGGCCGGTCTTGCTTTTATCAAGCAATAACCAAGCGATGATCTGCAGTCGAAGTTTAGCCGTATTGGTATTCTTTCTCGCATGAGGACCGGGAACCTCGCTCTCATTGGGCACTGTTTGACCGACGGTATATAGATGAGGTATGGAACGGAGATGATACGTCGAATGTCCATCGATCGTTTGACTGCTTCATCAGTAATAGATATGGAATGATCAAACCAACTGACCGGATCATCAAGAAGTCAGTGGTCTCGGGTTGATGGCGGAAGATAGGAGCGCGAATCAAGTTGTTGTGAATGACTTGAGTGACTCGTCCTCGATCCACGTATCCGAGGAGGAACGGTTCGGCGTCTCCGACGTTGAGTATTGACGGTTGGCCAAGTTCGAGCTGAAGATAATCAGCTACGCCCTGAATAATCACAAGGACATTTACTTTGGGTACATGCTCATCTTTATCATCTTGCTTTCGATAGTAATTCACGATGGTAGTCCCCATGCCATACCCACTCATGATGGGTGGGTATTCTTCCTGTGAGAGGTCAGCTCACCCTCGTACGAACATTCGGGCTGACCGAGAACTCCAACAGTACAAATGGCCCCTTTTCTGTCATAGTCAGATCCTTGGTCGATTTGAACCGTTCTGATGGATCTGCCAGTATCTGCTTTTTCTTTGAGCTCACGGTGGCGGTGGGGTTCGATTTGAGTTTCGAGAATGTTAAAGTAACCCCCACAGGAAATTGCAGCGCAGGTCGTCGCCAGGACCTAGCTTCGGCTTTTGTGAGTGATGTTTTGTACTGCATCATGAGCAAAGCGACAAAACCGAATCGGACTGTTCACTGACAAATGGAAGCTGCAAGATCTTGGCTGGTCCAGAATGGAACACCTCGATAGCTCCAAAGGTCTGACGGATGCGGAACCTGGACTCCCGAGAATGTTCGTATAGGTGATCGTTGGAGATGTTGAATGGATCCAGTTTACTATTGGCATCCACTGGTGGTTTGTTCCGAGTTTGACTCTCTTCCTGGTCTTCCTCATCACTCTCCATGATTCCCGGAGATATGCGTCGAGAATCCCAGATGATCCCTTTCAACCACTCCCCGGACTCAAGCGTATAGTTACGTGGAGCCATTATGTCCGGCACTGATTTTTTAGGCACCGGGTCCCTAAAGAGTCAGTCAAAGTCTAACGTCCATCGTATGAAAATACATACAGTGAGCACATTATGATGTCTTTCTCCCATTTAGCATAATCGAGCGGCCTCGGACCCTTTTGTCTCAGTGACATATTCTCGTGTTCGGCAAACGTCGGATCTATCCCAGGTGGTGGTACAGAGATGAGCGACCGTCGATGAGCTTTTGCCTCTCTGACCCACTGCCGGTCAAAGTTGGCTCCGAGCTTGGTCTCATAGCTCGACTTGCTGGGTCCAGCGAGATCAATTTCGGGAAGGGATGACAGTTGGAAGATGGAGGAAGGACTAGGAGGACGAGGTTGAACGAAGAAATTAACTGAAGATCAGCGGAAATCTCTGAGGGAGAGAACAACTCACAAGCATCAGTGTCCTCCATTCGCCTTCGCTTTTTGCGTGAGAGGTTGGCCTCGTAGGCACGGGTAGCTGATGGAGTCTCATAGAAGATTTCCGACATTTTGAGTGGTTTTCCCGGCTCAAACTCTGGCCATATCTGTTTGACTTTGGTAGATTCGTCCACTTGCTCTTTTTCCTTTTTCACCTTCACTCCTGATTCCAGCATCTGCCGCTGCATCTCCATGGCCCTTTTCATATACCGATCCTCTGCCGCCTTATTCTCCACCTGTTGCTGCTGCCTCCTTTGCTTCTCCTCATCGTTTTCCTCTGGTAGTTCGCTATCCGAGACGTCGTCCATATACTTGGCATCGTCATCTGACTCGGCTTCTACTTGAGCTATTTGAGCAGTCGCGGCGGAGCGCCCAAAGAAGCTGTCGAGCGAGGCCGGATCGACACCAGACTCGGTCAATATTCGACCCAAGCCGAGGGAGCTGACATTCCCGAGGTCATTATCGTCGATGTCCATGACCTCGGTTCTGATGCAGAAGATGTTAGAGAAGCGAAGAGTAGGGCTATCAAGAAGAAGGAAGAGCGACAGGGGGAGTCAGGATGTTCTAGATAGGCGTGGGTAACAAAGGACGAGGACATGCACACGCCTAATCGAAAAAGCCCCTCCCACGTCATTCGTTCGATCAGTGAGGCCACCACACCCATCACAGACTTGGCATCCACTCATTTCACTTTCGACACTTCCTCTTCAGTGTAGATTGCGTAGATTCTTCCTCCACATACGTCACAGGCAGTTCATTCGACTCTCACTTACCCAGAATGAATATCTGAAAGCGTGAGGTTTCATCGGAAACCTTCACTCACACGCATCACCTCGCCACTCTCCAATCAAGGAGGCACTCACGAGGTTCGGTCCATCTCGCTTGTCAATCCTCCTCCTTCCTCATACTTGTTCTTATATGAGAGACGCGTCACTTTACTCGCTTTATTTGACCTCTTCATCATGTCCCAACACAACAAGCCTCCATCTCCCAAGGTGCCCCCTTTCCCCCCTCAAGCTATCCACTCGGACGACCGACGCGATCATGATTCCACCGCAGAGGATCTGATAAACATCGCCGCCACCCACATCATGCCTGTACCAGCTCCTAGCTCGAGTAATTCCCCTCAAGATAAGAGACACCAAGTGCAAGCAGAATCAGAAGAAAGTCAGGTTGTCGCTCATGCTAGAGATGACAGGGAAGAAGAACCGATCATGGCCGGAACGCCGCTGGACGAGCTCAAGACTCCAACACTGGAAAGGCTAAAGCTGCTCGACCTTGATCCAGAGACGCTGCAGCCTCCGACAAGTGGTATTGAGCCTACTCACGTGGGCACCATCCAGGAGGATGACGCGGCCGGTGACGCGGACGACGAAGCCGCAGATGAGTTGCCAACGTTGAGTGCGCCCGTTGGTCATATCAAGACTGTTCAATCTGGTATGTCAATGCCCAAAGAGCTTGCCTTTGTAAGTCGTTTTCTTTCCTCTGTCTGAACTCTGGTATACAAGACTGTGGAGACCGGGAGGGACATATTCGGGGGGACAGAGGGGCCACTGCCTCAGGAGAACCCCCGGTTACATCCTTTCATATCAAAAACCCGTTATTCCCAAACTTGTCCCGTCCTTTCATCTCCACAACCCAAATATCCATACAGATACGAGTGACACGCATGCTGACTATCTCTCTCATTGCTGCCCCTCATCGCCACCCTCTTTTGGCCCAATGATATCATTGCATCCTCCACCCCCCATGCTATGAAATGATCTTCCTCCCGCCATCATCGACCGCCGATCCCGAACATCGCCTCGTCTCTTCGTCTAATACGGGGTCCACACAAACAGGCTCGTCTCGGATTGGGCACCTCTGCGCTCATATCTGCACTCCACGCCTTACCTTGGGACGACGAGGAAGACGAGGGAGAATCGTCTTCCAACTCCAGCGACATAGAAGCTCGAGACCGTAGAAGTCCCGAGGACTCAGTACCTGCACCGACCAAGCAGAAACAACAGCGTCCCAAGGGTCAGTCAAACTCACCACTTCTTTTCCATATTTCGTGATGAAAGGAAATGTACTGATAGACTTTCAGCTTCAAGAATGCACTCTTCGTTGCACACCATCCGACCCATGATGCTCTCGAGATCTCACACAGACGATCTGGCCGGATCTCTACCCATATCCTCACTGCACACTCCTCGAGCTCCTTCTCTTCAGTTTCCCTTCCGAGCTAACACCATAGCTCGTAGAGCACGCTCTCCTGGTCTAGACGAACTGCAATATCAGTTTGCCAAGTCAGGTAGCTCGGGCCTACAAGCTCACGACAATGACGTCCCTGACGTCCCACCTCCCAAAGGCGCCTTCTCTAGGAGACAGCGACAAGACGGTGATCAGAGTTCAGAAAGTAGCAGTCTCACGGATAACAGTTCTCGTCGTTTGGTCGCTAGACGTATCGAGAAGGAAGAACACCTCGGTGCTGCTGAGGAACACGAGGAGATACTTAGAACTTTGTCGGACGAAGAGTCCGACGACTCTCAGGAAGACGTCGCAAAGAAGCACACTCAGGGCAAGCTGCTCAGGAATGACAACACGGAAGCTGCGTTGAGAGAGGATCAGGACGAGGAGATGTTGGAAGAGAGGATGTCAGTCAATCCCGGTGAGAAGAAACGAGTCAGAAAGGAGAGACTAGCGGAGAGACTACAAGAGGTCTTTGGATTAGAGGAACGAGAGGAGGTCTTGGAGGAACTGCGATGCTGGCTTCTGCGCAGCGTCAGTGAGTACATGTCACCAAGCACAGATTCGAATGACTGACGCTCTCAGTGCTCAAAGGTTACATGTACCTGACTCCAAGACATATATGCTTTTTTGCCCAGATGCCAAATAAGGAAGTGAGTACCAATGTGGCAAAAAGAAGGTAATATTCTGATCTCCTCAGAATGTCGTCGTCAAGACTGGGCCATTGTACAAGAAAGCCACAAGAACCAAGCTCAACAGTCGTTTCTGGGTCACTCTCAAGAACGATGTGCTGTCATGGTATGAGAGTACCTCGGTGTGTCCATAATACACATAATACGCATAGATTCCGGCTGATGTCAAGGACCCTTACTTTCCCAAAGGCAACGTCTCCCTGCAGTACGCGTTCGCTTGCGAACCTGTGGATGACACCCGTTTCAAGCTCCGAACAAGTGAGAGAACCTACACATTCTCAGCCGAAACGCAAGATGGGCGAGATGACTGGGTCAAGGCGATCAAGCGAGTCATGTTCAAGACTCAACACGAGGGTGAAAGCGTAAAGTTGATTATTCCCCTTGAGGTCGTCCTGGAAGTGGAGCGAAGTCCGAGCTTGGAATTTGCGGAAACAATAGAGGTATGTGTTGTCCGACCATTGGTGTCGGGCTGACAGTCAGATCAAGTGCGTTGATCTCGAAGACCAAATGTCTGTCGACAGCTACTTCTTTGCTTCTTTTCACGATCTTGACCATACGATCAATGTCATCCAACGATTGCTGGATGCACGACCACCAATCGACTTTCCCCGGGTCGATTCAGACCTTGTTGCTCGAGTGGCCGAAGCGGAAGCTGAGGAAAGGGCGAGGAGTGCATCCGATTCATCAACCAATCTCAGCAGTCTGGGCAGTTTACGGAAGCTTGGATCGGTCTTGAAGCCTTTTGTTCGCAGTTCGGACAAGGTCAACGAAGTGGGCAACGAGTCACACAGTCGATTGAGCTTGCCCAGTATGCCTGGTCTTCCTCGCTTGTCAATACCTTTCCGGTCTAAAGCGAAGCCCCCAATCGACGGCCCGGAGACGCCGCGAGAAGAGAAGAGAAGTCCATTGGAGATATCAGACGAGGATATGTCGGAAGGTTATCCGCCTCGTCAATCTGGACCAGTCCCTGCCGGTCTGGGCGAAAGTCCCAGTGGCTGGGCCCCAAGTTGGGTGCGGAAGCCTACCGCTAAATTATTCGGCTCATCTCCCTCTTCTCGATCCTTTGGCAAGTCTCCAGAAAGCACATCGACACTCACTACTTCCCCCGCTCGAATGCGTTCCGGTGGAGGTAAGAAGCCAGTGGTGACAGAAGTCGTTGAGCCAGTCATCCCTTTCAACAGGGATTCCGATGACAGTTGTTCAGAAGAAGACTCTACCTTCCGTGGTCATGGAGGTTCCGGACGTCCGAGAATGTCTTTCTCGTCGGACGCGTCCATAGGGAGTCAGATGGGCGACAGACCAAAATCGGATTATTCCATGATGGAACAGAGCATGACAGAAAAGAAGGAAACAGATGAAACCCGTCGGAAGTTTCTTGATGTTTTCTCACTCCCAGATACAGAAGAGCTTCTTGATCGTAAGTCAGTCTGTCATCGAGGGATAATCATTGACTGTAGATTTCCCGGGTTATCTGTACCGAGTTCTACCAGTTTCGGGTCGTTTCTTCATCTCCACCAACTACTTCTGTTTCCGTTCCTCTCAGCTTTTGTACAAGACCAAGGTATGTTTTTTCTTGCATAACCGTCCGCATCGTATGTCTGACGGTATAGATGATCATACCCCTTCGTGACCTTTACGGTCTCAAAGCTCAGAAAGCATTCCGCTTTGGCCATTCGGGACTGATTGTAATCATCAAAGGGCACGAAGAGCTATTCCTAGAGTTCTCCTCTTCCTCGCGCCGCAAAGCCTGTATCACACTTTTGGAAGAACGAATGGAAGCTGTACGATTGCAAACCGACCAAGGAGAGCCCGACGTTGCCAGGATCCGCGCGCGTATCATGGAGGATCTGGACGAGTCTGCTCCTTTCGATCCGAGTAATGCTGCCCGTCCTAGCTCTCCAAGTTCCTTGTTCGAATCGACCGCTTCCACATTGTTGGAGTTCAAGCCTGAATCAATGAGGATTACTTGTCTCACTATTGGGAGCCGAGGGGATGTCCAGCCTTATATTGCGTTATGCAAAGGGCTCCAGGCGGAAGGACATACCACACGGATTGCGTCACATGGAGAGTACAAAGAATGGGTCGAAGGCGTGAGTTTTACGGCCGAACGCAGCGTGATAACTGACATTTCAGCATGGTATCGAATTTGCTAGCGTAGGCGGCGATCCAGCTGAACTAATGCAGATGTGTGTGGATAATGGGATGTTCACAGTGTCCTTTCTCAAGGAGGGTCTACAAAAGGTCAGTCTACAACAGAGGTTCACCTTTCACACATGTTGACCGTGCAGTTTCGAGGTTGGCTTGATGATCTGCTCACATCGTCTTGGAAAGCTTGTCAAGGATCCGATCTGCTCATAGAGAGTCCCAGTGCCATGGGGGGCATCCATATTGCTGAGGCTCTTCGTATTCCATACTATCGTGCCTTCACCGTGAGTGCTACCTCGCCCATTGGACCAAGCTGACATCTAGATGCCCTGGACTCGCACGAGAGCCTACCCGGTCAGCTCAACATGTATGGGATGATCAGAGCTGACATACAGCATGCATTCGCAGTTCCCGATCATAAACGCGGTGGTAGTTACAACTACATGACATATACCATGTTTGATCAGGTCTTTTGGCGTGCAATCGCTTCACAGGTCAACAAGTGGAGGAAGAATACTCTGTGTATCGAATCGACGACATACGACAAGTTGGAGCAACACAAGGGTGAGCACAGACGTGTCATGTCGCTGACCCTCTTCAACGGGAAAAAACGTAGGTTGCAGGTGAGGTATTGACGACCAGTTCCATTCCTTTACAACTTTTCTCCGAGCGTCGTACCTCCACCTCTGGATTGGACAGAATGGATCCATGTCACCGGTAAGTCCGTAACGCCATATGGCTGTCAGTGATTATTACGAACCAGTGCTGATCGTCCAGGATATTGGTTCCTTGAGAAAGCCGATGAGCACGCACAGAAGAAAGAATGGTGTCCTCCTGAAAGATTGCTTCATTTCATGGAAGAAGCGCGACAGGCCAATAAGAAAGTGGTGTACATTGGTTTTGGGTCCATTGTCGTTTCCGATCCAGAAGAAATGACTCGTTGTGTCGTTGATGCCGTTGTGGAGAGTGGAGTTTATGCCATTTTATCCAAAGGTTGGTCAGACAGAGGGACGAAGGCGAAGGACACTGGGACTTCAGAAGGTGCAGATGGGATTCAATACCCTGCATCTATCTTGTGAGTTGATTTCTCTCATCTCCACCTCATCAGATACATTCGTCTGTGCTCGCATGCCTTTAATGGCAAAATCCGGGGTAGTTTGGTGTGATATTGATGGTCAGTGCGATCGACTCCATCGACCATTCATGGCTCTTCCCCAGAATAGACGCAGCATGTCATCATGGTGGTGCGGGTACCACAGGAGCATCTCTCCGTGCGGGTATCGTGAGTCTCAGCTCTTGTCATCAGATTGGACCAGCTGAGTCCCAAGCCAACGATCATCAAACCTTTCTTTGGCGATCAATCTTTTTGGGCTGAACGGGTTGAATCTCTCAATGTCGGTTCGGCTGTACGGAAACTCACCTCTGAGACATTGGCTTCAGCTTTGAGCAAAGCAACAACGGATGAGAAACAAATTGCCAAAGCCAAAGTGGTGGGTGAGATGATTAGGAGGGAGAATGGTGTGACGAGAGCTATAGAAGCTATTTATCGTGATCTTGTGAGTTGATACGTTCTCATAAGTTCTCTTCCGTATAATGCGACCCAAATCTCTCCCTGCCCACATCACTCCACAACATTGTCAAGGTGTATACCAGATACACCGTCCTTCTTTTGGATCGTGGAACACCCATTCTGCCAATTCCTCTGCGAGATCGCTTCAGCCTCAGCTTGTTCTCCACTGAAACCCTAGGAATACGCAAAGAGTCTCATCAAGCCCCTTCCCGAAGCTCCCCGACGAGATTCCAAAAGTATTCTCCGTCCCTTGACCTCTCACACGCCCGATTTGAATTTATTCCGATCTCGTAGTAAATCTCTATCCAAAGCTAGTTCCCACAGTCCAGACTCTATAGAATTACTAGATCATCGTCCCACTTCCGTACGCACCATGAGTCCCGTTAGCGAACGAGATCATTCGAGACAAATATCAGGCGGGACGCAACATAGTAGTGATAGTAGTTGGTCAGTCGTTAGTGACGGTATAAGGTTTTAGTTGTCAATAACATAATCATAGTGATGATCCGTTTTCTTTCTCTGAAAGATCAATACAAGGTGATTTTGTTTGTAGATTTCTTATTTGTTGTAAGATTTTGTAGCATCGGTTCTTGCACTACATGCATTGATTTGGTATCGATTCATGCAGAGTCGAGGTTTATTCTTCAACAGCTTCGAGGGCGGCTTTCTTTTGACGAGAAAGCTGTTTCATCCGTCTCATGTAACTGGGATTAGCTTTCCGTCGCGGTATGTATGATGTATCTGTCCAAATACATGCCGGCCTTCCGCACGACGTGATGATTCCACATGTCTGTAATTCGAATCAACGTGATAGGAACGAGACCAATTGTGATTTGCACTCAGAGGTCCATGGATGTTTTCTTGACCCAAGTCATAAGTTCCCTCATGTAGGAAGTTAGGGAGTGACGGACAGAGAGTGGACATGTGGAGAATGGAGAGAAGCAATCGGTAGAGGGAGGAATTGATTAGCAAAGAATAGGAGTGAAACACAAGAAGGAGAGGAGGTTACTCACTCGTCATATTGACACTTTTCATACGAATGTCTCTGGTCTTCGCATTTCCACGGAAGATAATTCTCTTTGTGTCTACATACGTTGAGAGGAATGAGCAGTCTGATAATATCAGCCTATCAGTCCGGTTTTTAATCTCACAATCCATCATAGTCCCCATCCGAAATCTTATCTAATAACGTCTCACCAAATACGCTCCCTCATCGTACATCATGAATCAACGTTGTAGGTATGGAAGCTTCCATCGGGTGTTATCTTTATCAGGACCCAGGAGATTATGATGAACATACAAGGAAGGGGGCGTAAGGTATATGTTTCGAAATCATTCGTCGGGGCATAGAGAATGGAATGAGAAAGCACATGAACACTACTCACGCAGAACATTGATCTCTCCATCCTAGAGGTAAACGAGCAGCCTCCATTTCAGCTTGAGAAGCAGTGGTTGAAGATGTCATTATGAGTGATTGATGGATTGTAAGATCCTCCTAAGTACTTATTCTTCATGCATGAAGAAGCGGAAGAATCTGTATCGAACAGGTAGGCTCGCGGAGTTGACCCGTGTAGGTCTCGGTCGATATGATCGCGAGCCTATTTCTGCCTCAAATCAATTAACTTACTTTGGAAGAATGGAATGTCTCCTGACGATCCCCCTTCAATTACCCCTTTCCGATTCTTCTTCCTCTACACAGCCTTCTCTTTCCTGCAGCTTTACATCCACTTCATAGTCATAGATCTCAACCAGTAGTGCAAGTGGTTCTAGAGATCTGGTACTGCTGCGGTTCTCACTCACGTATCAAACATCGGACCCGCTTTATCTTGACTACCAAACGGACTAAACGACTGACGACTGACAGACTGACTACTACCGACTCGACGTCAAGACAACCAGTAGTGAAGGCCTCAAGGGTATTCCTTTCTCCCCTGACATCTGTCAAACCCCGTGTAAGGAACTCAATACCGGGTTGTCAGGACTGGACTAAAAAGGAGTGAAAGAGATACCAAGATGCTCTCATTTCTATTCGTTCTTTCTATCACTGAATCGATCTTTTTGAAGTCGCAGCTGGACTGTTTCATTCGCTGGTCGATATACCGCAGGACGGGTTTTTTCGCTATACAACAGTTCGCTTGCAATATTTCATACGAAAACAAAACATTATCCATACTCCACTATCTACTCATCTGAAGAGTCAATTGGAGGAGGTAAAGATTTGACGAACAGAACATGATGCTGGGAGAAATCTTGTTACTCATTCTTGCTTCTTTGGTATATGGAGCTCCGGTGAAGGATCATTTACACAAGGTTCAACTTCGTAGAGCACCCATTGTTAGGTCAGGAGAGGTGAGTTTTCTTGTGTTACCTTTTTCAGACTTCCCCCGTCCGAGTATCAGTAGTGTGGAGAGGATCGGTGAAGTTAGAGGTATGCTGTTGTGCACAAGCTGAATGAAAGAACGTCCATATGGCTTTTCAACGTCATGCTAATCAGGCTATAAGGCGACATGCTCGAATGAGTCAGTCTACTCTCTTCTCTACCCTCTCTCCGTATCCTGTATTCCATCCACCGCACTCTTGGATGTCATCAAATGTGAAGCATATAATTTTCAATCTTCGTTGATGACAACGTCATTTGGCTCAACCCCATACTGAGAAGTGCATATATTTCACTACAAAGCTGACTTTGTATAGTCGGTCGAGAACAACCTTCCGACGACGACTTACTTGATCGAATGAAGAAACGTGTAAGTTTAATTCACGCATCAGGAGCCAGCTGACAAGACTAGGAAGATTATCTTCTCGCTACTGGACAAATTGAAAAACGTTTATGGTTCCCTCCTTCCTCCAATGACCCAGAAGGACAAAAAGGAAAACGTCTCTGGTTCCCGCCTGAGGGAACCGAGGGGCCAAGTCCGGCGGTTCCTCAAATACAAGAGGATTTGTTTGGAGGTGATGGATTTGGACATTCGGGAGATAAATCCAAGGCAACGAACGTTCAAACTGCTGTGCAAGCTACTACGACCGTCACTGGTATGTATTTTGCTTCCTTTTTCCTTGCTTCTATCTCCTATGCTTTCCCCTCTTTCTGCGGTCGTGACGAAATCTATATTACGCTTTATCGAATGGATATTTTTAGGTCGTGCCCACCATACTCAAATTGCCTCGTGTTCTAGAAGTTCTGAATCATGAAAGTCACCGCTGACCCATAAAGAGTCAGGAAGCAACGCGAATGGGTTCTCCGAAGCCGATCTCCAAGCACTCGAAGATGACTCTTTGACAAAGAGCACTTCCGATCTCGTCACTGGCGGATTGCCTTATATCATCGAAGATAATGATGAGGGTAAGTCGGTCCAACATTATCTATTGACTTTAGACAAGGTGGTAGGATCTGACAGCTAGGATATTTATGTGAGATACAAGCAGGTACTCCGCCGAAGAGTTTCTTGATGATTATGGACACGGGGAGTTCGGATACATGGTTACCTGATGCGTGGGTTGAGAGTCTTCCTCTCTCTTCTGTGGGATCCATTCTTTCAAACCGTCATCACATCTGGGATCCGCTGAGTGGTCTCGCTCCGCGTGCCCTGATCGCTTCAAAATTCGCACCCCCCCCCCCCCCCTTTGTTTATGAAGCCCGCTGATCATCAGCGCATGTAGCAATTGTGGGTCTCACCTCACACTCGGAACAGACACATCAAGTACCTTCAGTACGTCCATCCGCTCCATCACAATGTGTCTGTCTAATAATATGCAGAAGCCTCCGACCAAGTCTTTACGGTCACCTACGGGTCTGGCGAAGTCAACGGCACTTTGTGTCAGGACGATCTGACTATCGCCGGTATGACTCTGAAAGCTCATACTTTCGGTACAGTGACCAGTGTGAATATTTCTTCTCGGTCAACGGTCAAAGCTGAGACTAGGAATCTTCTCAATTTAGTAAGACATTTGCAGATGGTCTTATGGGTCTGGCGTTCGATGTGAGTCACCCTGCAGAATTGGACTGGTAGACGTTGACAAGGATAGACTTTGTCACAGCAACGCGTTGATACCCCTGTCGAAAGTCTTGTCCAAGCAGGTTTGATCAAAGAAGGTATTTTGGGGATCGCCTTGGGACGTGTGGCAGATGGTCAGAATGACGGTGAATTGGTTTTCGGTCGAGCGGATAGTAGCAAGTTGGACGCTTCTACCACTCAAGTAAGTTCGCCTTCATCAACCATTTCCACTTGACTATTGTCTTATATCATTAAACCCCGGTCGAAAAACTCGGCACAGAACTAATCATAGACCCTTCCTGTCACGTCGCAAAATGGATTTTGGCAGGTCGCCTTGGGTGGCGTGACTGTGGATGGGAAGGTCGTGTCTCAACAACGTCAGGCAATCCTCGATACTGGTCAGTCATCCCCACATCGGTCAACGAGTACGAGTCCACCAGAACTGACCATTAGGTACAACACTTCTCTTGGCCCCTCAACAAGAGTCAGCAACGCTTCGATGGATCAGGATTTAGCTGATGACCAGTGCGACCGCTTATCACGCTCAGATTCCTGGGGCGAGAGATGAAGGACAGGTAAGTCGCTGTTCAGGTGATGAGGTAGCACGAGATGGACAGTGTAGCTGACACGAGCCAGGGAATGTTCTCGATTCCATGTACGACCGATGCGGTAGTCGAGATGACATTTGGGAATGTTGCTTTCCAGTACGTATTTGTAATCTTTCCCCTCCAATCCGCCATTCGCTTTCTCCTCCAGTCTGCTTAGCTCTCATGGCCTTCCTCGATATTGGTCGAGATCTTTTGTAAGACGACAAATTCAAGGCGGAAGGCTGAGAGGATGGTGGTCCGACTCACTCTCAGGATCGACCCCCGAGACCTCATATTCCAACCACTCAACAATGCCGATCCAACAGGACAATGTCTCTCTTCGGTCATGGCGGGTACGGTGACCGATGATCAGACATGGCTTATGGGTGGTGAGTCTTTCTCTCTATACATTTAATCAAGAATTGTGTCTCTGACAAACAGACGTCTTACTGAAGAATCTCTACATGGCTACGGATGTTGGGCAACGCACCATCTCCCTCTCTGCTCGAACGGACACACCAGGCTCTTCATCAGTAGGGAAACAAATCAACAATGATGCTGCCATGTCTATGCCTGGTATGACTAATGCTGCTCGTGGAAAAGTGACGTTGTTGAGCAAGTTGGGCTTGTTAGGGATGGCCGGAATAGGATACATACTTGTGCTTTGAAGTGATGAGGAAGGACTGAGTAAGTTTACCTAGAGCATTTTCTGTTGTTGCACCATGCATCATGTTGTCATTTCACCACCACCTACCAGAGTACGTCGTTACGTATGGACTTTGACGTGAATACGACCTGTCTGTCCAATGGGCATTCACAAAGTCATGCATACAAAGTCACGAAGCCACAGATCCCACAGAACACGGACCACCCTGAAAGACGACGGAGTTTGTCGCGAAACTTCCCGATCGAATTCTTTCACCTTATCTCCCAGATTCGCATCTCTCTACTGTACTTGTATATCTTCGTCTCAGCCTTGTTCCATCTGTACAACTATACAACTACCGTGTTAACAGTTCCCGAAAAATAGCCCTTGATCAGGTTCATAATCGCGCCTGGAAACACGGAGGAGAAGACGACAGAAGAAAGAGCGGAGACATGTGATCACGGCATGAAGATGGATGCTTCCCACAATCCCACCCAATGACTAGTTCACCCGCAGATGGTCTAACAATTTTAGCGGCTGTGACTTTCTTTCCTTTACTTTTCCTTTTGCTTCCCTTTCTTTCCTAGAACTTGTACATCCCGTCAGCCCACCAAGATCTTTGCCGTTTGTTTGCTGGGTCATGTTACTCTTTGTCCCGCTTTTGGCTTCTCCCACTTTCTCTCACTACTCTGGAAGTGATGACCTTTTTGACATCTTTGACGTTTGACGAGTAGGTGATTTCGAAAACATTCATTGGCGGTGTAGCTTTGACCGTAAATTCAATTGAAGAGTCTGAGATAGATACGATTCGATTTATTCATACCCTGTCTAAGATTTGAAGTAAAAACATTGGGAATACTAGGGACTGTACTACGAAGCGAGAAGGGGCGTAAGACTCTCAATACGAACGAAACTAAACGACAATCATGACGATGGAACTTTCTGCTATCGTTGAGGAGATACTTCCTGCTTGTGAAGATGGAGTTGTGAAGAAGGAAGTAGGTAAGGACCAAACCAACTCGCCTGGATCGCAGAAGGAACGGTATTCGTATGTTTCTGAGGATAGTTCTGGTGAGTTGTCTCATATTTGATCTTTCATGCCCTCTGGGGTATTTCTTTCTTGAATATCTCCCCTCATCGTTCTCTTGTTCTTGTACCCCATTCCCGGTCGTCTCGCTCTGTTTGAAGGTCATCAGAAACGCTCTACTGAACGAATTTCGAGTCGCAGCTGGCTGTGTCGAAAACATCCGACTTCTTCCTCTACCACCTGGGGGAAAGTCTCAAGTTGACGTTCAGAAAACAACACCACACCAAAACCTTCACATAACTCTTTCCGAGGTCATCTGTATTTTGGCGTCGGACCATCACTCCCAAACCCTTATTCTCTTCGCCAGGCTCTCGGTCCATTGGAAGAATACGACGATACGACAGATTCCATTTCCGAACATCTCGCTTGTGCTTCTTACCTAACACCTTCTCGACGTTCCATAACTCCAATATCTTCTCTTCTTTTACCCATTTCCAATCAACCTTCTTCACCCCGTAGACATATCAAACGTAATTCCACTGGATCAATGGCTACCGTCCAATCGCCTCAATTGAGAAGTATGGTTTCTATGGATGCTATGTATCCTCAACATCGACCTAGATCTGCTGTTTCACTTTCGCCACCTTTATCAGATTCAAGACATGTCTCTTGGTCATCTGTCGTTTCATCTTTTCGATCTCCAACTCCGGAACTAAGAATTCGAAATGTTTCCTCTAGCACATCAAACAGTTTACCCACTCCTACTCTTCTTAACGAACATATTCTACCTGTCACTCCGATGCTTGGACGGCCGGTTTCTCCCTCCACACCGAGACAACATCCCACCAATCGAACGACTGCTCGAATGAGGATTTCTTCTGTTGGAATTGGTGGAGAAGAAGAAGAAGAGTCAGACCCTTCCGCCACTCCAAGACAACGAAAACGAGTCGTAAGCTCAACAGAAACAGACGAGGGAGAGATTGTGGGAATTGTAGCCAATGTCGACGCTACTGTTCGAGCCGCTCCCGGTGTGGTAGGACTAGGTGAAGGATGGGCAGGAGGACCAGCTGCTAAACCGAAAAACAAAACGCAATGGTTTCGTTCCCTCTCAAATGGTCAGGTTGAACATTCACATGATCCTCTAGCTCTCTGGATACCCCCACAAAAGTCCCAAGAACCCAAGAGAAGTGTTTGGGGTAGATCTCGTGGTTTGTTCGGAGCAAGTATGCCTCTTTTGTCTCAACCTGATCCGATAATCAAATCGGACTTTCATCCAACTGTCAAAGTCGGTCCCGTCAAGACTCTCAGAGGGTTGTTGAGTAAAAGTAAAGTCGACTTGACACTTCCACCTGCCAAAGACAAAGCTTCACAGCATCAAAGAGATAGCGGTAAACGACTCTTCGGTCGATTTTCCAAATCAGCAGTGGACATCACTAGACTTTCAACTTCTCCTCTAACATCAGATAAGATGAAAGATATCTCAAATAAACATATCAGTCCTAGATCCAATAATCATGGTCGATTATCATTCTCTTCTGGTCCACGACCTCCTTGGCGTCAAACATCAACACAAGTACGTCCTGCCACTGTGGCAATTATGAATCCAGTTTCTGCCTCACGTCCCCTTCAACCAGGTTCAACGGAATCCACACCTCCGGGAATCCAGGATGATTCACCTGCATTAGAATCACATTCTTCTTCCTCAACAATTCATCTTCGTACTCCCAAAGTGGAAGAAGTGAACAGACAACGACCATCTTTCCAAGCTGAAAGGAAAAAGAACAACGATGTCAATCCACGAGTCCGAGGATGGGGTTACGGACACGTTCTTTCGAATGGATTTCGTAGATTATCGAATCTTGGAGGATCTCATACAACTACCCCGGTGTCTGTGGCGAAAACAGAACCCCTCACTCCTGTCACCTTTCCAACTCAACCCATTCGTGGACTTTGGGAAGAAAACCTTTCATCTCCTAATTCATCCGAAGAAACATCTTCTCCAATTTCTGATGGTCCTAAACTCATATCTCCTCTCGATACTCAAATACCCAAACTCGCACCACGGTTCATTTTCCCCGCTCCATCCACAATACCAAAAATCAAACCCACTCCTGCACCATTGTTCAGTCGACTAAAATCAGCACTACGCCCACATCATACATCCCGACGTCCCAGTGTTGCGGCCATTACAGAAGATTGCGAAATCTCACTTCCAATCCCATCTTCACTCAAAGTTACCTCAGAGTCAAATACTCGTCAGTCAAGTGAAACTCGACGTTTGTCCGAATCCACCGTCCGTTTCGCACCATCCCCAAAGACCAAAACAACCATCATCAAGAATGATTCCGTACCTCGACACTCGATCTCATCCATCGATTCACGAGGAAGACGTTCATTCGAATCATCCTCTACTTCCATGGGTGAATTTGGAAATGTTTCTCATCTCACCAATCGTCATACTCTTGGAAACCCCGTATCAGTCATTGAAAGAGATACATCACGTCACAAACCTTATCCAAGTGTAACACATTCATCATCTGTAACATGGCGTAAACGACTTTCCAAACTACCAGAAGCAGATGAAGAAATTGATCAACCCGAACTGATCCAATCACTTAGCAACGTTCAATCGGAAGTTCATGTTGATACAGAAGAATACAAAAGACATTCAACATCCATGTTAGATCTTTTCAAACCTATTAGGAAATTAGGTTCTTTGAATTCTCTTCGAAAACAAACTTCATTGGATAATTTATCAAATTGGGAATACCCAGCTTCTAATTCTTCTTTCCCATTAAGTAATTCGATGCCTTTACTCGATTTCCCACTTCCTCCCGAAAGGATGAGTTTGGAATTAGATTTGGGTCAAAGTGGTTTGGGTTTAGATGATATCTTAGCAGCTGGATCAAATCCGATTTATACGAATCCTCCATATACTCCCACTCCAGGTCAAAATCCTACTTTCTCATTCTGTCCTCCTATAGATCCCGAACCTTCCACCGGACTTGTGCCCGGTACGGACGACCGCGAGAATTGTGAAATCCACATGGAAGCGGAGACGAACACCAACGCAACTATGATCACGAACACGGACACAGATATGAAATCAATCAATTTGAAGACAAATATGTCGAAAGGGAAATACGGTTCTCACCTTTTACCACCTTTAATACCAGTACCACCATTGACCATGTCCACTTTGGTTGTCCCTCCTTCTCCTTCTTCTAATTCTCCCCCTTTTAGTAACGAGCTCAACTCCGGAAAAGAGGAGGTCAATCTTATATCAAAAGAATCAAATTCAGAGAGTTACAAAACAACTTTAGGTTATCATACTCCTCCTCTCACTCCAAAGATCGACATTTCCAAAGACTCAATTGTGGTCGTTACTGAGGTTGAGAAGGATATGACGAAGAGACCCATATCGTCAGCTTTAAGTGGATCAGAATCGGATAGATCAGGATTGTCTTTTTACGAATACGAAGATGCTAGTGAGTTTATTTCATTGATTTCTACACTATTCCTCGCAGCCAGGTTCCGTGTCTCAGCCCAAAAAAGAATAATAAAGGCAGGAAGAGAGTCATAATTTTTTTGTCGAAGAGAAACGTGTGCATTCTGCCTCAAGGAGATTATGTCTGTATCGAGGGGAGTATGTAGTGACTGCATTGGGGAACAACTCAGTGGAAACATACTGACCCTCAGTCGTCTCTTCTGTCACTGATGAAAGCGTCAAAGTAGGAATGGCAAGGATGGTCAAATTGACACTTTCGAAAACGATCAATGATGATTAAGAACAATGCCACATATTTATGCAACGACAATAATGAATATATGTATATCCAATTGTATCCAGGGTTCAAGTTTTAAGTAACGTATTTATGCATGCGATGAGATTAGCAACCCGCCCCCCCCCCAATCATCTTCCATCTTTCATCCTTGCGAAACTAACGATCAATTTCATGACACTATCCCTATCTTGCGTGTTACTTGCAACGTCACACAGTATCACTTAAACCCATACATGCAGTACTAGCACTCTACTCACATCACGACTCACACAAACTTCATTCAGAATGCAGGTCTTTTAGTCATCTTCGTACCTAACGTCACCGGCCTAATCCCATTTGGTCTACCTACCAAACTCGTCTCGCCCAAACCACTCAAGGACGATTTCGATCCGCCACTCTTTCCTACTGGAAGTGTGAGACGTGAAGTCGAAGCGGCAGATTGAGCTTTTGAGCTTGTGGAAGCGGTAGGATTATATGCGTACGCTTGAATATTCTGAATGGTTTGTGCCAACGGACGAGGAGGGTTGGATGATCTTGAAGGTGGTAAAGCAATACGAGAGGGTTCACGATGAGAAATACAGATACCTAATATTCGAGTACCGTACGTTTTGATATGCGCAGATGTTATCCCTTCTATTTCTTTCAACATGCCGAGATCTGGTGATCAGCTCATGTTTTCAACCCTTTCCACCTCCTGAAACCTAGACCTCTCTGCATGATGACAATGAATAGAGAGTTGAACATGAGAATATCGTTCAGGAAGAATGTGGGAGCAGAGGGAAATATGGTTCAGACGGTCAGATCCTACTCACTAGATGGCATTGTGGCAGCTATCATTTGTAAAGTCTCTTCCGCCAACACTGGAGCCGCTTTGTTCTTACTTCTGATTGACTTTTGAAGAGCTTGTAAAGCTTTGAAACATTTCTCCACCGGTGTCCCACTATCCGCTCTATCCACAACTCCAATCGAATTGTTCGCCCCCAAACCGACATCCGTAAGAGAGAACGATTTCTGTGGTCGTAAATTCAAAGTCTTGCGTTTCTTCATCGTCACCTCTTCGATCACATCTTCATCATCTGTGATTTCTATAGGATCTTCATCACCTTCATCAGGTATGAATTCATCATCAGAATCTCCCCAAGGAGAATTTTCGAACGCTTGCTCTTCTTCTCGTAATTTCTGCAACGACCTTTGTTTTTGAAGAGGGTTCGTCATTGGATGAGCGTAAGTTGACAGATTTCCTTGACCTGATTTCCGTTTGGTAGGTGCTACTTTCTTCTTGACGGGGGATTTTGAACGGAAGTCCATTTTGAGTGTTTTTCGTCCGTTCAGATATGCTTGTGATTGTTTCCCCAACTAAAAAGTCAATATCAAATATGAAATAGGTCTTAGAGTTTTGGACAAAGTGACTCACCTTCAAATACGCATTACTCCAACCCGCCCCATTGGCGGAATACCATTCATCCAATCCACCTTCTATCAAAAGCATCTGCAACAACCTTTCCGCTTCATTCCTTTCCCAATCCTTTCCACAGCCAAAATGAGGATTCTGATCCAGTCCTTTACCACCCCCTCCGCCAACACCCCGGAAAGCATCCACAGCCATTTTGACCGTAATCCTATCTCCGCGGTCAAACGCCTGTACCATACGAATGACATTCACAGCTGAGTCTGTGACGTCTTCCACTGTGAAGCGGTCATTATCTCTTCCGAGACAAACATCACATCCTTGATGACACTCGCTAGAGTCGAAAGTCTCGTTGAAAAAGGCCAGCACTTGCGAGCGCCGGCAGTCGGACTTGTTCATGCAAAAACGCAAGACCTGCTGCATGGATTCTCGTTGGCGTTCTTTCTGATCCCTCGTTAGGTTGGTGTCTCGGTCAATCATTGTGAAGACGGTTTTTGAATCGGCGTAGGAGAAGTCTGAGAACGTCAGCTTCTTTGACCCTGGACCTTTCGGCTTGCGACATACAGAGAATGCAGTTGGAGTGATTGCCGTCTCGACCAGCTCTACCAGTCTCTTGATAGTACCCTTCCAACGAACGTGGTAAAGAGTGGTGAATGACGACTATTACATCAGTACTGCTCGATCAATCTTATCAGGAGCAGGCTCTCACATCTAACATCAGGTTTATCAATCCTAATTGGGTCAGCTCTGCTTCAATCACTAACGTGGAGGTGCTCACCCCATACCAAAAGCGACCTGTATGTTAGCTCAGGTGTTCAGATGAATGAAAACTAAGCTTACTGTGGCGACGATGATCTCAAACTTGTGCTCCTGCCATCCTTCCTGAACCTTCCTCCGATCGTTCTTTGACATACCCGCATGATAGTGATACGCTTTGAGATCATGATTATCCCTCAACTCCTTTGCAATATTCTCGCACTTTTCTCTTGACGAACAATACACAATTCCGCTCACATCCTTCCCCTGCGTATTGATGAAGGCGACCATGTCATTGATGACGCTTTTCTTCTTCGGCCGGACCTCGTAATGCAAGTTCGGTCGATTGAAAGATTGTTTCAAAATGGCACATCCCGTGATACTCAAAGATCTGATGATATCCTCTTGGACCTTATTCTGAGCTGTCGCTGTCAAAGCCATGATTGGCACGCCAGGATAATCACGCCGCAACTCTCCCAGTCGCAGATAATCCGAACGGAAGTCGTGTCCCCACTGGCTGACACAATGGGCTTCGTCAATGACAAACCTGGCCAGACGCTTCCGTTTGAGCAACAGTCGCAGGATTGACTTGAGGTGACCGCCCATGACGAGCATTTCTGGTGTGACGTAGACGACCTTGGTATGTGGCTCAGGGTCCGACATGAGCTCATGGGCTGTATTCCTATCCGCTTGGGTGAGATCACCTGTGTAGGCAATGGCTGGGATGCCAAGCTTGGCTAGATGTCGGGACTGATCGCTGATTAGAGAGATGAGAGGGGAGACGACAAAGGTGATACCTCGAGTTTGGCCACCGTTACAGACTGCAGGTAGCTGATCTGACGTTTATCAGCAGAGTCTTTTCGTTCAGTCAAAATGGCCTACAAGTCAAACTCTTGCCACCTCCGGTGGGCATCAACACAAACACTGAGATCAGCTGAGCACTGGTAGGCTTTCTTAGCCAACTTACCATCTTTACCAGACATGGTCTCGTCTATAGCTTCTTTTTGATGAGTCCTGAAGCGAGGGAGCTTGAACACTTGTCGAAGCTTGGACACCACCTCCTTACTCCAAGGATGCTGAACTTCCATCTTGTATGTTTTTGGAGCCTGGACAGACATATTTGACGCTGAGCTTGATGGACCAGGACCACCTAGGTCTGGTCTAGAGGCGGAGGCTTCGGTGCGAGGTACCTTGCTAGGTGTTTTACGTGGAGGGGAGGAGAAGAGGTCATCTGGGGTGATATCTTGCAACTCGGCCAGTGCTTGTCTCCGAGCAGCGGCGCCATCGAGACGTTTCTGTCGCCGAGGGGTGGCTATAGGGATGGGAGGTGATGAAGGGGGGATGAGCTCCTCTTCAAAGTCGTTGTCAAAGGCCTCAGCCATGGCAATATCGTCATCCGTGATCAATGGAGGTGTTGAGTTGCGTGATATGCGAGAAGGGCCTGCAACTGCGTTGGGCGGTCGTTCCGATAGAGGTATCGAAGGGCGGGACGACATGCCGGAAAGTTGATGATTCGGCTGTTTATGCGCAAGCAAGGAATCGTCACTGGATGAGGGTGGAAACAGTGGCTCGTTCTCTGGCATCCTGTCTAGTACCCTGGTGGCGCTGGGACCCGTCGTAGGTGTAGGATAAGAAGCCGCGGGGGGGAATGCTGGAGGTGCGAAATTGGAGGCTGATTGGGGTGTTTTGTGACCTGACGCATGTTGAGATCGAGCGGCTAACGCAGCTTTGAGATCTTTCAGACGTTTTGATAACAGAGCTCTACCTGTGTCAGCGACACAAGTATGAGGAAGAGAGGATACGATTACATTTTCATGTCGATCATCTCTGGATCTTCGTCCATGCCTTCGTCTCCCTCTCGGATACTTTCTCTCTTATCCATCAAGCTCATCTTCTCGTCTTGATTCTTGATAATCATCGCCTGTAGCTTTTCGATTGGGAGCTGGCTTGTGAGTGATTTTCTGGCCACGGCAGGAGATAACACACGTTGTCGAGTTTGGAATCATAACCTCCACTCGGCTTCACACCTACTGCAAAGCTCGAAGCTTGGGGAGTGGCGACGGCTTGATGTGGTTCTCCAGCGTGTCCGTCCATGCTGGCAGATATAATGCTACCTTGAAACGTTCCCTCTCGAGGAGCTGGTAAGGCCGCGATGAATGGTGACTCGGCTTTCAGTGGCGATGTACGTTTGACTGATGATCAGCAACTCTTCTGATCGGACAGGAATGACTGACCAACGGTATTCTTGACTAGAGAGTCATCGCTAGCTGATTTGTTCATGTCGGGAGTGCCTCCACCTGCTCTTGTCGCAATGGGATAATGCAGCGTCCGGCAGTCAGCAATGTCCCATCTCACAGTTTAAAAGGACTGACAGGCTTCGGTCTCGATGGTGGCGCAATCGAACTGACAAGACTAGAGGTGTCCACACTGCCTTGCAGCTTTGCGAACATATCATTCAGGTTATTCTTCGGAGCGGCCATTTTCTTGAGTGCAGAGTTGAGGGTCAAGGTTTAGGGTCAAAGAGACATTGTGAAATGGAGAGAGGAAGGAAGGAAGGAAGAAAGAAATCAGTCGGCTGACGCGTCAAACAGGGGAAGAAAGACGGAAGCAAAATTTCACGCAAGCGGCGATCACCGATGGAATTTGGACTGCGTTTCCCGAGTTGCGAGTATGGGATCTATGATAGGAAGGGATGATGATGACGAGATGAACAATGTCATGTCGTGTATAGCTGGTCCCTCACGATTCGCAATACGACAAACCACCTCGAGCGTGTTCCCAGTTCTAAGTCGTGTGACTCTGGTTGACCGAAAATGGCCTCCAACTCGCCCACTTCGACGTCCTGTAACGACTTCTCGACCCAAGCAAGATAAACCCAAATCTCAACCTCGATACAACTTCAACACCTCACTCAACTTTACAGAGGAGCCTGATCCTGATGTAAGCTTTTCTCCATCTTCTCTTTATGTCCCATCGAATTGGTCTTATGTCAAAGTATCGGGATAATGGCTGACGAAAGAGCATGTCAGTTATCGTCGAGTGACAGCTTCAGATCTCGCAAAACATAAAGAACCACCTACGAGAGTCAAAATGTTAGTCAGAGATTTTATAGATGATTCATTGTATAATGTGAGTCATTCTCACGGTTTACTGTCCTACAGTAAAAGGTAGATACTCATGTCTAGCCTCACTACGGTTATTTCTCTAAAAACGCTACCATCTTCACACCACCTCAAGAAGAAGGATACGACTTTATTTCTTTTCGTGATACTGCGGCGTTTTCTGAAGCTGTGGCAGATAGGTATGAGAGTTATAATTTGGTTCCTACGGAACAATCAGGTTTGGGAAGACAAGTTTGGCATACACCTACAGAATTGTTCAAAGTGAGTTCATTCGTCCCCAGAGCAAAAGTGAGCTATTCGGACGGAAAAGCTGATCATAAGCCATACTATGCTCAAGCTCTCATATCAGCAATATTGAAAGAATATAAACTTTATCATTACCCACATCAAGATCTTATCATTTACGAAGTAGGAGCTGGGAATGGTTCTTTCATGTTAGATTCATTGCGTTTCATACGTGATCATCATCCCGATATCTTTATCAAAACGAAATACCGAGTAATCGAGATTTCACAAGCTTTGGCAAAAGTACAAAGGGATAGAGCGAGGAAAGCGGGGTTTCGTAATGTGGTAGAGGTGATCAATGAGGATGTTTTCAATTGGCAAGGTGGTGAAGATAAAAGTTGTTTCGTTATCGCTTTAGAGGTATTTGTGAGTCGTCTGGATGCTTTCTCGGGGTTTTCCATATTCTTCATCTTCAACAACTTCTCATTCAGTTCGTTCTCTTCATCAACGAAAATCCCTTTGACGTATTTCAGGAGAGGAATAGCTGACAAGGGAGGATAACTTTGCACATGATATGATCCGTTATGACATTCAAACACTTCAACCACTTCAAGCTACAGTCTCTATAGACTCTTTCAACAATTTTACACTTTTATACGAACCCATTTCTGATCCATTACTTCAAAGAGTATTGCAATACAAACATCTTCTTTCTCCTTCTTCATCCACTTCCCCTCCTCTTCATCCTCTTTTACTCCGATCACCACTCCTAAGATCTATATGGTCAACATTACCTTTCGGACCAAACCTCAGTCAACCGGATTTTATCCCTACCAAAGCTATCCTTTTCCTCGAACGTCTTCGGGCTAGATTACCAGCTCATAGATTGTTAGTGGCTGATTTCGATGCTTTACCAGAGGCGGTGATAGGAAGGAATGGACCTGTAGTTCAAACTAGGTATGGAAGTAGTATGGTTCCGTGCGAAACGTTCTTGGTGAAACAAGGTTATTTTGATATTTTCTTTCCTACAGGTGAGTGTTGTGGGTCACGTTCAAGACTCATTTATATCCCTTTACTCAATTATATTCTCCATCTTCCGCGACCCAGTATACTTGATCTACCTCGTATCTTTTTCTCCGCTCGTGTTACCCTGTCAGAAACCACATCGGATAGAAAGACCCTCGACGGTCAGTTGTAAAAAGTTTCGCCAATTCGAAAGAAAGATGGAAGGGAGAAAAGACTACTCTGGATGAGTGAACTGACCATCAGATTTCTCCCTCCTACGAAACATTTATTCCCTGATCATGAACTCCCCACCTCATCTACCCATCTCCAAAATTCATTCCTCTACATCATTGCACCTCAATCCTTCTCCAAACCCAACATCCAATCAAACCAATATCAAGATCCTTCCTCAATCTATGAAACCCTCGAGACACTCCAACCCCCCAAATGTCGAACCACCTTCTCCAGCGGTAGAATGGTCTTCACAAACTATCATACCATTCTTCACACCTCATCGTCTTACTGGTGTACAAGGGTTCAGACGTCGACAAGTAGGTATACATACACATTCTGATTTCTTATTGAAATATGGGAGGGACGTGGTGGATCATACTAAGGTTAAGGATGGGAGTAATGTCATGCTTTCAATGTATGATAATGCTCGGGTAATGTTTTAAGTTTCATTCCTTATCTGTTTTATATGCATGGTATTTCATTGCTTGTTCTACCGGACCTAAAGAGTCTTGAGACAGAGTGACTTCTCTTCATTCCCTGATCCGTGTTTCTGAGACTTGTTTGGAATCTTGAAAAAGAAAGTGAAAGATCAGGACTTGATACTGGTTTGTGATACATAGGGTTACGAGTACAGCACTTTTCTACATGCTACAGAAATTCCTTGTGACTGCACGGTTCGTAATGGAGAGTGACGTCTTCGAGGAGAATGAGATACATGACTATAAACTCTTTAGGCTTTACAACATGATGTACATATATACTTGCACATATCTCATTTCTTATTCCTTATGACCACTTTTTATTTGAACCATTCTCGTTCATATTCCCATCACACACGCCCAAAATGTCATTATTGGAATCATCGAACAAAGTCAAATCATCATTCCATTTCCTGTCCTTTGCCCACGTTTCCGAACACCTATCGCTTCTTCCCTAGCTGAAGTCTTGGAAGAGAATGAATTTCTCTCAGGTTCTTTACCTTTACCTTTTCCACCTGAATGTTCAGACTTTCGTCTACTACTTCTCTCACTTCTATTCCCTCTTTCTCTACCATTACTGCGTTCCCGATTCTCTTTCTCGACACCACCTCTGTAGTCTTCCTCCCGTTCCGCATACTCTCTGTATCCCCCTCGACCCCCATCATGTCTTTCGCCCATCCCCACATAACTCTTCTTGTTGTACAAGGAAGGACTTTGCACTTCCGATATACCTAGTCTCTCCGCCAGACCGGTTTTACGCAACAGAGGAACGGTAACTTCGGTAAGACCCAGTTTTGTCCATATGACCTCTAGCTGTTGAGGAATATATGGGTATATCTGTTGCCATGGTGTTGTGCTTGATGTCTGAACCGCATAACCTCTGTGATCGGTTGGACCGTCGTCTTTGTAGATCGTGTTACTTTCCGATGGTTTCGATTCCATTGAGATATGTCCCGATTGAGGTCTTTCAGGTCGACTGGATCTAACTCTAGATGAAGTTTTACTGACAACATCTTGTCGAGTTTGTTTCTGATCATTCTTTAATTGCATCAACCAATCAACCCCTCTGGTTCCTACCAACCCTGCTCCTATCCCCATCACACACCCGATCCCTAATACACCGGCCACAAACACATACAGAGGATATACAGCTTCCATCACACCACCGGCAAACCGAAGTGGGGCCAAGACGAACACCCGAAGTAGTACTCGTAAGATGCTAGTGAAGGGATACAGCAGAGTGGATAGAAGAGAATAGACGAGATGTATTATATTGAGGAACAATGGTAGAGGTGTTGCAAGGATGGCTATGAGAAGATACAATGGGTAGATGAGGAGAGAGAGAGCAGTACGCCAGTACGGTGTACTAGGATCAGATGGAGCTTGAGGAGGCATAGGGGGTAAGTGAGGTATAGGATAAGGGAATTGATATGGTTGTTGGGTCACACCGTGATGATCGACATGATGTGTGAGGAGGGAGGTTTGAGGTAGATGAGAGAGAATTTCGTGTTCGTCCGACCTGGTTAGGATTTGCCAAATTATGTAGAAAAAGATGACGTAGGCTGAGGTCAGCGAGTTTCCTTATCGTGCTTTGTATGGTAAAAATGTCAATGACACCAAGGTGGATGACAAGACTTACAGACCACGGTCAATGGCGACATAGGTTCATCCTTCTTTTTCCTCCTCATCCTCTCCGTTCTCTCCTTCTCGATCGACACATCCTCCTTCTGGGTCAACCCAGCCTCGCTGAAAGAAAACGAATCTTGACGTCTTTTTGGACTCATCTCGGTACTCTGACGCAGAGAAGTAGAAGAAGAAAGACTGTGAGCTCGTCGACGAAGTTCGGGTCGAGGTGGAGAAGACTCCACCGAGGAAGTACGGCGTATGGGGAGTTTGGGTGTATGAGACATTTGGCCACTTGTCGACGATCGCCTCGATAATTCGATAAGCTTCTGTGCTGAAAACTTAATGATACAGTCGAAATACCACCGAGATTATGAGTGAATAACGAGCGTGGTAGAAGATGCACGGGTCGATTTCTCTCGATCGAGAGATTTTGTGGGGGATGGGAGGCGGCGAGAGGTGACGAGTTGGACGTTTCACTTTGCTCCTTTATCTCCTTTTGTGGGGGGTTCTGCTACTCGTGGGGTTGGGGTATACTAACGAAAGCGAGACGACAGTATGTTGTACACGATTCAAGAAGAATGACTGGGGTATGTATTTGTTTCTACGTCATGAAAAAGTGAGAGAGGGGCGTGTTTTCAACGATGGGGACATGTCATGCGTGGGGGGCAGGCACGGACCCGGTCATTCGGCCCCGTGATCCGGGTGCCTGCGATCTTTCTCTGTTACATGGGGGTATCGAATAATGATCGAGTAGAATTTCGACTTTTGCACCCCGCGTTGACCAAAAGTTGAGCCAGCTAGTCTATCAACGTACTAAAGTCGCTCTCAAGTACAACAAGATGAGCGGGAGTGAAGACTTTACAAAGCGGAAACTATGGGGGTGAGCGAGCTAGTGACGTCTCTCGGAAACATCGCTGATATACAGTGGTCGGTTTACCGGATCGACAGACCCACTGTGATACTACCCCTTCAAGACGTAGGGTGAGGCTGATGGACAGGATGCACGAATTCAACCAATCTCTCAAATACGATAAACGCATGTACGCAGCGGATGTCAAGGGATCTATATCTTTCTCCAAAGCTTTGCTTAAGGCGGGGATATTGACTGAGAAAGAGCAAGAAGAGATTGCCAGAGGGTTGACATTGGTACAGGGTGAATGGGAAAGGGGCGAGGTCAGTGCGCTCCTTTCTTCTCTAGCCTGATTCTGATCTACCTGGAAGAATGTATGGTTGATGTGGACGGAAGGGTGAATAGGAGAGGACGAACTGACGACAATAGTTTAAAATCCAACCTGACGACGAAGACATACATACCGCCAACGAACGTCGATTGAGCGAGATTATAGGTAAAGACATAGGAGGAAAGTTACATACTGGCAGAAGTCGGAATGATCAAGTAGCTACCGATATGCGTATCTGGCTTGTGAGTATATTCATCTTATCTGTTACTGTCTACCCATCAAAAGTCACATTTAATTGAGCGGGCACAGTGATTGATGACGTAGATGGACGAGACGAAACAAGTGGAAGATCATCTAAAAGCTTTGTTAATGGTCATGGTATCACGTGCGGAGAAAGAAGTGGATGCTATCATGCCTGGTTATACTCATTTACAAGTGAGTACAGCTGGCCCTCTCACACCTTCCCCCCTCCCTGCAAATCCCTTACAAGGAATTACTCAACTCGGACCGGCCTTCGGAACTGGTTGATTCCCATCATCACTTCATCCATCAGAGGATGATTCACCATGTGACGCTGATGATCAGCGTGCCCAACCCGTTCGATGGTCTCATTTCTTACTCTCCCACGCGCAATCTTTCCTCTCCGACTTGGATCGTCTTCGTCAACTTTACCCACGTATATCAGTCCTTCCTCTAGGTTCCGCAGCCTTAGCGGGTAATCCTTATTCTCTCGATCGAGAACTCCTTCGAACCGAACTTGATTTCATGTCGATCGGTGAAAATTCCATGCACGCAGTCGCAGATAGAGATTTCATTGTTGAATGGTTACAATGGGCGTCATTGACGATGATTCATATGAGTCGAATGGCGGAAGATTTGATAATTTATTCAAGTGCAGAATTTGGTTTTGTAACTTTATCAGATGCTTATTCGTAAGTTTTCTTCCAGAACATTTTCCCCCTTTCCCAAAATTCATCTCTGTTGGAAATTCTCATCGTTTCAAAACCCAAAAAACTTGAAAACTTAAAAAAACTTAAAAAAACTCATAAATTGAAAGACTCAAAAATCGAAAGATGGAAAGGTTGATATATGTACAGCACCGGATCATCCATAATGCCTCAAAAGAAAAACCCAGATTCTTTAGAATTATTACGTGGGAAATCAGGTCGTACATTCGGTCAAATGGCAGGATTCATGATGTCTTTAAAAGGAATTCCATCAACTTATAACAAAGATTTACAAGAAGATAAAGAACCTTTATTCGATTGTGTCGATACTATCTCAGCGGCATTACGTATAGCAGAAGGAGTCATTTCAACACTTTCCATTAATCCTATTCGTATGAAACAAGCTTTAACGATGGATATGTTAGCTACGGATATAGCGGATTATCTAGTTAGGAAAGGTGTTCCTTTTCGTGAAACTCATCATATTTCAGGAAGAGCAGTTGCTTTGGCTGAAAATGAAGGTGTTCAAATATCAGATTTGAAAATGGATCAATGGTTAGGATTGAGTGATAAATTTGAGCAAGATGTTATGGAAGTGTTCGATTTCGAAAACAGTATAGAGAAAAGGAACGCTATTGGTGGACCTGCTAGGGTTATGATACAACGTCAGGTTGATGTGGCCAGGGAAAGAATTGAAAGTTGAGAGTTGAGAGTTGACATTCGATCATGATTTTTCAATATATCAAGGTGGAGGATAGAAAAAGAAAGAAAAATTATATGTATTTAGACAATTGCATCATGCATGCTGACAAGTATGTTCTACTTTTTGACTTCGCTACTTTTGTCAATTTTGTTGCGTTTCAATCAAACCTATGCTATGTTTCTTTCTCTCATTTAGATAAATACTTTTGACGTTTCTTCTTGATATTCTTCTTCTACTTTGACAGTTGTGATCAACACTCGTTACAACCAAGCACTTTCAATCCCGGAGATTACAGGTTCCCATCTCTCCACCCTACCCTTTTCATCATCTTCAATGACTTTTATCATTCTCCCTCCTCCAAAATCTCTCTCATCGGTGGTCCCTGCATCTCCCAACTCCGTTCCTTCCGCGACGTCCCTCTCTCCTTCTGGTCCATTTCTATCAATTCCACTCATTCCTGAACTTGATCGATTGCCGTCACTTCCAAACCCACAAGCTTTATCATACTGTCCCTCGATAACAGACCCACCATGTCCACCAGATATGTCATATTTCCCATTTACAGATCCACCACCATCCCTGCTCACCCCACTCATCTCATACCTCGACCCACCTGAAAAGGCTTGAGATTGTTCCCGACTAGCCTTTCTCAAAACTGGATCTACCCTTTCTTCCGCATCACACCAAAAAACTTTCCATCTCCCATCTTGACTACTCACGAACCCACTCGATCTTTCGAAATACCATCTATTCACTGGATTATCGCTCCTGCTCCTCCATACCAGATCCCGACCTGTCAACCGACTTGGATGTGGGACGGAGCGAAGGGAACCTTCTGTCGGATTGGCAGAATCAGGTACTCCCAGACCGTAAGTTTCATCTCGGAGAGAAACCCAGAGGAAATCGACCGTACCGTCTCCTTGATGTTCTGGATGAACCGCAAATTTGTCAAGGTAGCAAATACCTTGGAAATGGGGTTGATTCTTCACAGGACCAACTCCAAATGGATTAGGTTCGATTTTTGGTGAGGAAGTGAAAGGGACGGCAGAAGAGGGAGACGAAGTGCAAGAGGCTGAAGATGAGGGAAGGTGAGAAGGATGAGATCTTCCTTCTGAAGTTACAATAGCGGCACCGGCATAATCCCCAATTATGATACAAAAATCCATATCTTTCTTCATCCTCTCCCAATATTTCTCACCATTCAATTTCCTTCTAAAACTAGTTTCCAACAAATTCGTGAGTTTCTCAATATCCAAAGCTTGGAAATCTCTGACTATCCGAACGGGTAAACCAGTCCTTATCAATGTCGGAGTATCCCTTGTCAATCTTCCACCGGATTCTAATAAAGCATGTGGGAGAGAAATGGAATGAGCAGGTTTGTTCGTGATTAAATTAGCTATCAATGCCGCAGGTGATCGATGAGAAACTATCAATGCTGATGCTTCGCGAGGCATTAGTCGTAGACAAGTGTGTGCGAGAGAGAGGTTGGAAAGTGCCGTAGGATGTGTAGAATGCCATGATGGTAGAAAAGTCGAGTTTATGTGATTATATTCTGATGAAAGGTTGATAGATAGATGCGGTAGACCTGATCTGGCGTATGAAGGGATACCACCCTCTCGGTTGATGATGAGAAGACGGAGTGGAGTGAGGTCTATTTTGGCTTTGAAGATGGTTCCTATTGGGTCGACGGTGTTATAACTGATGTCATTGTCCTTCGTCTGGGTTGTATGATCTTCATGGGAGGGTCCAGTCGTGGAGATCAGACTGTGATCATTTGAGGGAGACGCTGAGGAGGAGGACGAAGAAAGGGTTGGAGGGTAAACTGAAGAGGGCGTGGCATGAATAGAAGACAAGGTCGTAGGGCGGGTAAGAGAGGATGGGTGGGATATTGTCGAAGTCGTAGAGGTCATCTGAGACAAAGAAGAGATAGGAGGGTTCACCATAGCTTTTGCCAAAGCGGTCAAAACCAAATTACTATGCACCCTCCTACTCCTACATCCCATATCCAAAGCCACAGGAAGTAAAACAGGTATTTCCCCTTCCTCCACCGCTCTTCTCACATGATCTAATCCTTCAGCTTCGACAAATACCCCCTGATCTCCTACTCGAGCGACAGAAGCTAAGATAGGTCGAGCTGGAGCTCTATATCGTATGAGAAAATCAACCACTCTCTCCATTTCTCTCATTACCATCTCTCGTTGTTTTTGAGCCACAGAACTATCTGTGGGTTCAAAAGGAGGAAGATCATCTCTATCAATGACGATGACACTGACCAATCCGAGTTTTTGTAATCTCGCCATGCCCTTTGCTATTGAAGCGAGTTGAGGGTCTGTGAATGGACCTTGAATCTTGACCAGTGCTGGACGACGAGGAGTAGGGTTGAGTATGGAACTCAGTATAGGATGAGGTTTTATTGAAGGAGTGAGAGTGGTCTTTTCTGTCGAAAGGGGAGGTGAAGAGGAAGGGGCGAAAGATGAGAGATAGGAACGTGAGTCTCGAACTGAAGGTGAAGCTTGGAGAATGGAAAGGATGAAGTCCTAGGTATCAGTATTGTTCGTCATGATAACGTTCCTCGATCAAGGGGAAGGGGAATGAGCAACTCACATTATCACCATCTGGTGCTTCTTCCACCACAGGAGAGGAATGATAGGACCTGTTGACAATCCGGTGAGGGAGAAACACACCAGGGGCCAAAAGCCCTCGGTGAACTCGACTACCACCAATAGACCTCATGACTCTTCCTCTTGAAACGAATGCGAGAGAAATGTCAAAGTTGCCATTCTGCAAGAAGAGATGATGAACGTGTAAGGATGTTGTGGAATCCAAGAAGCCACAGAGAAAAAGTCGAGTCGCAAACGGATCAAAGATGTTCTTTCGCTTATCGTGCCTGGATTCTCTGCATACCTATCACCGACCGTTTGCCATGTTCTCTGTCCAAACGAGGAGATAAACTACCATATGCATGCATGATCTCCCTCGTACTCTCTCACATACTCCGCTATGCCAACAACTCAACGACCGCCCTCATCTCCCTCCCCGCAGAGCGAGCACAAGGTGGATCACCCCTCCCGCCGGAACACCGTAGAATCCTAATTCCTTTTCATCGTTCCTAGGAGGTCAGTCTAGCTTTGACATATCATACATCACCCTATACAATCTTTTCCCGCTAGCTGATACTGTGAAGCCTAAAGAGAGAAGGGCAGCCCACAAAGCACAAGGAACTCACATGGCTTTACCACCAAAAATCAGACGTTGTTGAATGGGAGGAATACCAGCCTTCTCTTCCACGTTTTCTTTCACTTTCGAGACCTGAGATGTCATTAGCATAGATTTGTCACTAATTGAGTTATACAACATCAAGTGGGCCGCGTACAAGTGTAAGAAATCAGCCATCGTCTAGGGGGCTTATGAGATGGCAAGACGAACACAAGAAGAAAGAAGCCAAAACTCACCTTCGTCTCTGGTTGTACGTCCAGCTCTATCTGAGGAGCGAGTTAGTTTGTCTAGTATCGGATGATTCATCGAGGACATACCTCCTTCCCTGTCAGAGTCTGGCTATGAGCCATGATTCCATATGAGAGACTAGTGGAGGAGAGAGGAAGGCTGACTCACCTTGACCTTGATCAACATGTTATGTCCGTACTAGCCACCAGCCACTTCCGATGTATCTGTGATTCCTGCCCAGATATAAGAGATGATAAGACGTACACTTGAGTCTAAAGTGAAGTCTCTGAGTATGAAGTATTCCTCAATGATGAATGAGATGTATGAACCAAAGGTAGTAAGCGCTATCAGAGTGGATCGAGGTGGAGGTCGCCGCCCGCACGGTTCCCCACTCTCCCGCTCCCCCACCACCCACTTCTCTCTCTTCGCTTCTTCTCTTCTCTTGTACCTCCCCCATGCAGATACCTATCCACAATGGCCCTCACTCTACCCTCTCAGATATCTCTTCGTGACTTTCAAGTCTCACTGGAACCTCGTATCCCTGTGAGTTACATCTGTCATATCGAACTGACCAAAAGGTGCGCATGTCCAGACCCAAAAAACGAAGATGGTATGAAGAGCCTCAAGAGACACCGAGAGAACAGTGCATTCAATCGACTCCTGCTCGCCTCACTAACCCTTCCTTTTCTGACCATGCTCCAAGTCGAAACAGTGCCCCTGATCTACCCCTCACTTCCTCCGCAACACATGTATCGCCTCAAGTAGTGCCAGCAGTTCAATTTCAAGCAAACCAAGACATTCAAAGCCCATCCCAAACATCGCATAAGGCAGATTTTGGACGCTCAAGAACTGACAAGCCTCTCAAAACCCGTCGAATGTTTCCGCTGACACCTTACCCGCGAGACGTACCTCCTGCGACAGAACCCTCCCCCTCCGAGTCTTCACCGCTAACCCCCAGCAGCAGCCCACCAAGCCAAGCTGATGAACCATCGCCTCTGACGCAGCAAGTCCTCAGCAAGTCCAAGAAGGTCTCGGTTGAGAAAATCGTTAACAAGAAAAACACCAAAACTACAAGTAAACGCAAACGATCTCCTAGCCCCCTTCCACAGCCGATACTCGTTGGTCCCGAAGATGGGGAATGGGACGAGAACGGACTCGTCTGGCATCCCCGCGTGTCTCAAGTCCTTGAGATGGAAGAAGAAGCGAGGGATCATGAAGAGGGTAACGAAGTACCCGAAGAGCTGGAAGAGGAGGAAAGGATGTTGCAAGAAAGCGCAGACCGGGATGATCTACTCCGTCTCAGTGGCAAATCGGACTATCAAACAGAGACGGTGAAGACGTCAGCACTCATCCAAGCAAACCATGAGTACCAGCCTCTCTTGTTCCAAGACAACGATCCTGCCCAAGATCCGTGTACGAACCTCGAGTTCGAAAGGGCCACAGAAGTGCTAGGGTTCGAGTATGATACCCAAACCCGAGGAGCTGTCGTAGCTTTGGGTCAATTGGGTATGGGCGAAATCATCCAAATAGTGGATAGCTTCGACAGGGTCATGTCTCTACCTGTACCTAATCCCCCGCAGATCCTTAGTCCATCTCTGACTTCTTCGAACCCACAATCAAGTCTGACAATGGTAGACGGCAATCACCCTCGTTCCGACAACACTCTCGTACCTCCTCTTCATCAGGAAGAACATGCACTCCAAATCTCAAGCGAGCTTCAAAAACGCAAAAGAAACTTTCGGTTGTCAACGACGGTAATGAACACGCCCCCTCGTAGTCCTTCACTAGCTCCCCTTCCTTTGCAAGAAATCCTGCCTCCTACTCCTCCCAAGGCAAAAAGCAAGAAAGTCAAGAGCAAAAGTAGTGGACGAAAAGTCAAAACGTTCTCCAAGAAAGCCCCTAGAGCATGGCGTAGACCAGGCTTAGGAGAACTCTCCCCGATCCTGCCTGCTAGTCCTTGGCCCTCTGATTCAGCAGCCAACACTGCTTTGGCCACTATTAATCCAATAAATGCTGACAACATCCCAGCTGACCCACCTCATCATATCACTAAGACACCTATTGACTTGACCCTCTCCCATCCCTTACCAGACTCACAACCAGTCACTCGACACAAGCGACCCGGAACGACTTCCATGTGGCCGGACGAAGCTGTGGACAGTGATGAGAATCGTCCGATCCGAAAAAGAGGACGAAATGGTCTTCCACCTGAACAACGTGATCAAGGTCTCTTTCGCAGCTCTGATGAGAGCGACGAATATCGTCCTTCTCGAAAGGAGAGAGCCATCCCACTGACAAAAGTGTTTTCGATCAAGGTAGACCGTGTACGTGACAGTGATACAGTAGTGGACGATGATTGTATCGTCGTCCCGACTCGAAAGAGACACAAGCGTAGACACAAGCACAATCTTGAACATCCGAGGACAGCTACGACTTTCGGACCTCCTCGACCAGAGGTTCCGACGCTTGTCATGACTCGGGGTAATGATGAAGGGGAAACCGATCAGTGCTTTTTCCTCCAATACAATATTCCGCTGATGATCAGAGTGAAAGCCTATCTGAGAAATGTGATGATGAAACGCTACAAATCGGCTCGGAACCCAGCTAAGGTTATTCCTGGACCGAAGAAACGAAGGAGAATTAAGGACTATCGACGAAATCCAGCAGAGGTGGCAGAAAGAATTCCATCTTACGTTTGTCAGGAGATACAACGGGTGTCTTTCCGAGCTTTCGCTGATATTTACGATCCGACCAGATCTCGACGAGATGTACTAAACGCTCGTGAGCTTATCATTGCTGGGAGGAAAGAACAGCGTGATAGCGCTTTAGGATTGGGACGTTTGGGGATAACGAGTAAGAAGACCATTGTCAGACCAATTACCCGACGACAATCTCCTATCATGGGTCTTGATGGACAAGATGATGGGATACAAGCTTTCACTCCTTCTGTCAATACCACTTCGAGGAATCGAAACGTTCCCGGACGTCTTAATGCAGTACACAAAAACCTACGCCCAACGAGGTTGCGAATGACGACAAGAACTCCATCTCCCCTTCCGATCCCTCGTCGACGACATGTCTCAAGCGAGACAATCAGTGGAAGTTTGAATGGAAAAAACATTCGAACTCCTCAACCCCACCCAGCCCCTTCCGAAGAATACGTCGGACCTCCAATGGTTGGTTATCGGTCTAAACGTCTGAACAATACTTTGGGGTTGGAAAATCAAATCTCGCGTGAGGCAGGAGGGGGAACTTCGAATCGATATATCATACGACCTGCTCCTGACGGGGAATATCTGGGTTCGCCGAAAGTCAGAGTCTCATTTGGCATGAATAATCAAGATATTCAAGATACCAATTGGAGGGAAGAAAGGTTCATGGGCGATGATAGAGAAGATCCGGAATATCTACGAGTTGGGCAAAGTCAACCCTATCAAAATAGTGTTTCCCCGATTATTGTGGATACTCAACCTGTCGTCGAATCATCCGTACGACATGGATCCAAGTCTAATATTCCCGTCACATCATCATCACCCATTCATCTGCCAAATGCACTCTCGACGATCAACTTCCCCGATGCTCCCAATCGTTCGGAAAGAAACATGAAACATGCCAGTGGTTCAAAAGCGTCCGAGGAGGTATTAAGAAGTTCGACAGTGTTAGAGGTACAAAACGGTAAACGTCCACCTCCTCCCTCTCCAACTTCATCAGAAAGGGTCTTTCACGAATGGATCAATACCGATTTGTTCGAATCTCGTTCCACCCGTCCTACCGCTCTGGGAGACAAACATGCAGGCAAGAGTGATTTTCTAAACTATGAACAATTAGACGAACTCAATTTAGAACGTATGAAGGCGTTGGTGGAAGCTGGCGGTAAGAGAGCGAACACAAGTGCTCCGGTTAGGTCTAAACGACCAAGTGAGAGGAAACATAGACAAACAACTTTGAATTTCCCTTCTGTCCGATCGACATCAATGCACCCAACGACCAAAGTCACAAATCATATCTCTGATCAAGCCGCAAACGCCGATAAAGGACCGGACGATAGTATACCAATTCTAGTCCCACCTTCACCCGCTATTGAGACACCTCATCAATCTTTCTTATTCATGAAGAATAAAGAGAATCGTTCTTCTGTATTAGTCCTGAACGACCAGCCAACATCAGGACCGTCCGCGAGTAATCATAGTTTTTCTCGTTCTCGCTCTCACTCTCACGTCTCTGGTACACCCTCTCAGGACACGCAACACAATACAGCCCAACAATCAACACACGGTGAGCTTGCGGAGGCCGCCATAAGCTGACATTTAGAAGCGGTCCAAAGCTATCCCACAACTTTCCAGCGTAGTTCAAGCTCAACGACACTTCCAGGTCAGCCATCAAAACGACCATCCAGGACGAGATCTCAAGGACCGCCAATTGCTGCTTCTGCCTTTTATGCGTTACCTCGATCAAGACCAAGGTTAAGGGGAAGAAGTGTGGATGATATACAAGGAGCTTTCAAACCTTTCAAACCGTTGACACAACCTTCGTCCGGGCAGCGAGCGGGGATACAGGGAGTTATACCACATAGAGAGAGGGGTGTTGTACCTGCTTGTACGGTGGAACAACCTGGCAGTGATAGGGGAAGTGGTGATGATGGAAATGAACATCATATTGGGGGTGTTGGAGGTGTTGGTGGTGAAAGTCATGGAAGTGAGGTCAAGAGGAACAGGAATGATAATCTGGGTATAAGAGAAAAACAAGGTCAGTGTATCAGTCTTCCTATTCAGGTCGAAAAGGTAAACGTCCACGGGAAAAGTAAGAGTGGAGTTCATAGTTGGCCCATAAGAAAGTTATCAGAATACGAGAAAAAGGTACAAGCTACTAAAGGAGCTTGGATTACTCGGTATGTTTGATTATTTGTCCTACAGAATGTGTGCTAAATCCGTAGGTAATCAAATCACCATCATCTCGTTGTTTTCAAGCAACAATCAAATTTCAATATGTATCATTAAATCACACTCGTTTTTATGTTCAACCACGTCCAATCCCTCCTCCCCATCTCAATTAGAGTGCTTTTCAACATACTGTATTATCCTCACATGATCATTCATGTTGTACTCCATCACATAAGTGATATATCATGTCAAAACTCATGTCAATCATGTACAATATCCAACACAATAACAAATGTCCATGCATTCCTGAAAAACATGTATCACAAAACTCGACTTTTACCCTTCATCCTCACACGTATTTTCTTTTCCAAATGTATGACCATGACCATGACTCTCCATACCGATTGTACGAGTCAAGTATAAATCTCTATGATCTATGACCTTGATTAAAGACCAATAGAAGAACATTTCCCTCCAACATTATGTAATCTAGTTTGACCGATTTTAACTCTTCCACCACCTGCTAAATAATTACCATGTGTAGGATAAATAGGACTTGTTGGTGCATCCATATAAGGACTTGGAGCACCACCACCACCACCACCTAATCCCATACTTGAAATTCCAATAATTTGTTGAGCGCTAACTCTTCTTTCTGAACGTATTTCTTCAAGAGGTAAAAAAGCTTCTGCACACCATTCGTACCAAACTTTAAACCGATCAGTCAGACGCCAAAGTGAAACTACAAGTTCACAATTGGATGGTAAATGTAAAGGTTCGATGAATGGGAAGAATAAAGGGAACCAAGAGAACATATCGGGTGAAACTAATGACATATTTTCAGGATGGATTGAAAGACCTATATTTCCATATAGATGAGCTTCGAAGTATCCTGCTAGACCGTGAAGAGGACCTGCGTGAGGGATATGGAATGACATATGAGCGGAACGAGTGTTGTGGGTGTTGTTAAGTGGAAGACCTGGTTATGAGTTGGGGTTTTCTGGTTTTTTTTCCCTTATCACTCATAAAACGTCCATGTGATATTGCTGGCATGATTGGGAATATAAGTGAGGATTTATAAGATAGATGCTTTCCGCTATAGTGGAATATTCAATGTGTGTGTGTCTATGGTTCAAAGAGGGGTGAGAAAAGTCAAGGAAGAAGAAATAAACAAGTGGAATGACATGGCGAGAAGACCACAATGGCGTAAGTGATATGGTTCATATAAACGATTTCATTTGATATGAATTGACGTGTAAAAGTAGAGTTAAGGGATTCGATGCGGTGATGAATAGAAAAAAGGAATTCACTCACCATCCTCACCAAGGATCAAATCTTTGCGTGGATGTTCAAATTGCCAACATTGTTGTATTCTCTCTCCACATCTTCCAGATGGTCCTGGTCCTTCACCAGAAAGAGCATTGACAGCGGACATCATAACCACATAAGGTGTCTCTGCAGCTCCGGCTGGACGAGTAGGAAGTGAAACTTCGTAATGTAATTTACTCGATGATACAGGGGCGATATGAGCGGTGTAAGACATTGGTATTGAGAATCCGTCGGCTGTATGTCAGGCGTCGTCCACCTCGCTCCTTCCTTCCTTCCATCTACCTCATCGTTCCCCCCACCCATTTCGCCTCTCCCTGATCTTCCTTCTAGATCGGTGAAATCCTTTCGATGGGAATGGTGACTTTCATTTGTACAAACGTAAGGGTTTGGATATTATTTGACAAAAATCGTGACCACACTCACGCTTCAAAAACCTAGCTGCACCATCAAGACATTCAGGAGAGAGTTCATTATCCCCCAAAGATCCTAGTAGTTCCGATACTAACAAATCTACTTGTTCGGGTAAAACGACTTTTCGCATATCTCCCGAAATGATATCCACCGCGTCATGCCATTCGAGAGCTTTACGTTCTTGTAAGCTTGAATGTTAGCTTGTTTCTTCAAAACAACTCATGATACGTCGTTCAATCAGTGAAGATTCATGGAGAACAGGGAAATAGGGAAAGAAGGACTAAAACTATAAACTCACGTCAAAAACGCACTCGCATTCTTCTCCACGGCGTATATCTTTGCCTTTCGTTCAGCCCTCACCAAAGCACTCAAACAACAAGCAACTAAAGGTCCTCGTCCAGCTCCAGCAACAGCGATAGCACTGCAAGTCAACTAAATTCGAGGTTTTCAATGAGGCAACTAACTGTGTCTTCTCCTGAGGCAGATCCATCAACGCGAGGTAGATCGCAGCCTCATATTGTCTATACTTGACCGGATCTCTCTCAAACACATCATATGTCGCACTTCCCAAATCATCCATAAGAGGCTGTAGAGGAGCTTGGAGAAAATCTGAATATCCTGCGCCTAGATCACCAACGGCAGAAGCGCCATTGGCCAGAGACATGCCAACACCGGGACCCGGGGTGGTAGTGATATGTCGAAGGTACTGTAGATATGCTGTTGGTCCACCGGCGGGATGACGGGACATTGTGGTACCGGATAGGATGTAAGTGGGGGAGAGCTTGAAGTCAGCGACAGACATTCCATCAATCATCAAAATCTGAATTTGGGGTTGGTGAATGGAACGAACCTTAGCCATACCACGAAGAAAAGCTTGACAAGCTTTTGACAAAACGGGATAACCCTTGGCGTTGGGTATAAAAGATCCTGCGGGTAACCAGATGTATGAAACTGGTTCGGCTGTCCATCTTGCCAAAGCACCGACGGAAGGAGGAAGAGGATTTGTCAAATCCAGAGCTATAGATTAGCGAAAGTCGATATTTCCACTGAATGGAAAAACTCACTGACTGACAATCTTGAATCATGACCACATACCGTTCGGATATAATCCCACATTTCCCAAGTGGTACATGGATCTCCCGCTGCTGAAGGGACGACGGTTCTTGCGCTCATGGTCGAGCTTGCAGCACTGGTTCCGCTAAATGTACGAACCCCTTGACCAGGTACTTGTTGCTGTTGTTGTTGAAGTTGATTCTGTTGTAATGTGTTTACTTGAGATTGATGGATAGACATAGGTCTTGTGGATAGAGAAGACATACGCTTGTGTTTTGAACCTGTGGATGTCGATTCTGGTAATTTCTGAGTTGGGTTCGTGCCAGGTTGAGAAGGACCTTGAGAGATCAATTCCACGGGATCAGAAATGGGTATACGGATGGATATTTTGGTGTTGGTGGTTGTACTGTTCATTTGCAGCAAGCCGGCTATAGCTCGAGCGTAGGAAGGTAGGAAATGTCGATTGGCGATGGATGGTCCGGCTATTATGATGGTGGGTAAGGAGACGTAAATGGCATGAGCCATTTCAGCTCGTAAAGCCTGATCATCAAATACCGGTCATTTGCATGTAGATTTTAACTCACGAGCTCTGAATCGAAACGGATACCCTCATCAGGCGAGTCAAGATCTAACCATTCCGGTCCAAGTCCTATGAGATGAGGCGTTTCCTCTAATCGACACACGTTTACCTCTTCCCGGCTCAAACCACCTTCTCGTCTCCACATATCCGCCTCTCGATCTACCTCTTCTCGATGTTTAGAGGCTTCAGGTGAGGCGAGATCTTCATCCTCTGTCAGACGGAGACATAGACGTTCCCACCTCGTCTGCCATCGAGCGTTGGTGAGAGGAATGCAACATAGGTCGTAGTCTGTGGAAGAGAGGGTGTTATTGATCAGCTGCTGCAGCGGGGAGGGGGAAGGGTGAGGTTGATTAGGTAGAGAGGGGAGTGGAGGTGGAAGGTCAAGAGCTATGTTAAGACGAGGCATGATGAAAGTGAGCTGCTTTCCTTTTGATTTTTTCAAGATGCAGATGTTCAGAAATGCATTTTGGCTTATTCGCGTCTTTCCCCCAACGCGTCTCGCGCCTATTTCGCACTGGAACGGTTGAGGATATCTCACGCGCGCCTTGTATCGGCCGATTGACATTGTCAAGTCGGTGATGGCCGAAGCGATAAAGGATGGCGCAACCTGCATACCTGCATACATACCTCACTTTCTCACTTTCCGACGCTCCACTCCGACAAACTGTACATCTTTCTCGCTCTTTCTGTCCATCACTGCTCGCTCTTACATACATACCTACATCCCTCCGCTCAAATCACCGTCCTGGCGTATGCTGAAATCTTCCTATTCTCATATCATTGGTCATCAGAATTTGAAATCGTCACTCGCCTCCGAGCCGTGACGACACGCCGCTCCTTTACTTCCCTCACCCTCCCAGAGCGAAGCTTCTGCCGTCTTCTCTTCACCACTCCTGTCTTTCATTTCCCTTGATCTCATTACCTCAGCACCATGGTTATCTCAAGATCAGCCAGAATCATCACTCTCCTCGTCATCGATACTGTTTTTTTCTTTGTTGTGAGTTGTTCCTTTTTGGTCTAGGAATGAAGCTTACAGAATAAGGAGCTGATAAGTGGTTATGCAGTCGGTTCCCTCGCCTTGGTGGCCGATTCGTTTCATATGCTCAAGTAAGTACTGTCTTTCGTCCTGGGCAGTCATGCTGACTCATAGTGACGTCCTTTCATTGGTCGTAGCGTTATATACGATAAAACTCGCCACTTCACCTTCTTCAGCCAAAAATTCATACGGATGGCAAAGAGCTGAAATCCTCGGAGCTCTCATCAACGGAGTTTTTCTGGTGGCGCTTTGCATGTCCATCTTCCTCGAAGCCATCGGCAGAATCGTATCACCTCCACATATATCTAACCCAAAGCTCATCGTCATCGTCGGTACGCTGGGTTTATTAAGTAATATCGTCGGACTTTTCCTCTTCCACGGTAAGTTTTTTCGTTATTGTTAGATATGAAGACGAACTGATGCAGTAGAACACGGTCATTCCCATGGTCATTCTCATGGAGGCGATGTTCAACTTCCAGAGGACAACACGAATACCGAGAGACGCTCAGACAGTGCTCGTCCTCGTGCCGATTCAATGTCTTCTCTGTACGCTCATCCAGCTCAAACTCGCGCTTCAGTCATCGAAACGGCTCATGAGTTTGGATATGGTAGACATACAGACGAGACTGCTGAAATCTCGGATAAGTTCGCCGGTGCCATGTCCCCCCCATCCTTACATTCACGCTCTCTGTCTATCAATAGGCGATCCTCCTCTAGAGCCCAAATCCGCCGTGAGTCGAGTGCGACACGAATCCCTCCTGTACCAGGAAGCAACAGTACCAAAGCTCCTAGTAGAATCCCATTAATTGACGGGGTTTCCAGCAGCGCAAGTACGACAAACACGAGTACAACCATCGTACCCCCTCCACCGGGGCAACCGCCCAAGCAGCTTGACGACCATGTCGGGCATGATCACGTTCATGATCACTCGGAACATGCTGCCGATCTGGGACAAGCGGAACAAGGAGGGCAGAATGGAAATGGTCAATCCCATAATCATTCTCATGGCGACCACGGCCATTCCCATGGTTCAATGAATATGCGAGGTGTCTTTTTGCATGTCATGGGTGATGCGTAAGCTGCTTTGCTGGTTTACAAGGTTTAGCTGACATGATAGACTGGGCAACGTCGGAGTCATCGCCGCTGGTCTTGTCATATGGTTTTGCCATGGCAAATGGACTCTGTACTTCGACCCTGGTGTCTCCCTTTTGATCACCATCATCATCTTCCATTCGGCTGTACCTCTTGGTAAGTCATCGTCGATCTTTACATACACTCATCTTTCACAATCAACAAGATTCGATGTCATCATAAGTGTCAAGCAGTACACTGATCATTAGTCAAATCCGCGTCATACATTCTCATGCAGGGCGTTCCCTCGCACGTTTCCTTGGATGCTGTCCGCGAGTCAATATACGGTGTCTCCGGTGTCGTATCAGTTCACGAGCTTCACGTATGGCAATTATCCGAATCTACAGTCGTCGCTTCTGTCCACGTTTTAATCGGTACCGATGAGAGCTATATGGACGTGGCCAATGATATCAGACAGGCTTTACATAGTCATGGTATACACAGTGTGACGATTCAACCCGAGTGAGTGTTTCGTGTTGTATCAACGCGTTGCTCATCGCGGTGTCGATGAGTCAGACACTAATGTACAGATTCTACAACGATGGTGATGATCAAACATCTGAAAGAGCCTGTTTAATCCGTTGCCCACCAGAGCAATGTGGGACAGATACATGTTGCCCCCCTACGGCGAAGTTGATAGATGTGGAAGAGCACCAGGATGAGCAGGGCCGCTAGTCTTGTGATGATTTTGATTCATGGTGATATGACTGAGATGAATCATACTGTGTCGTTGTCATTTTTGGATAAAGTAGTCGGATAAAGCGTTTTCTGGGGATCACGTACATGCATTTCTAGGCTGTTTTCATCGTCTCCTGCGAACTGCGGGAATGTGCCACAATCATTCTCACCTTCATCGGAGTTTCGCGGAGTTTCGTTTCTCCTCTCTTTTGTCGCGAATGAACTCTTCCTTTTCATCCTATCTCCAAAGCATCAGCGTAAGTATCCTCCACAAATTTATCTCTCCCCCTCATCACAAACAATCAAACATCAGATACTCCACCGCTGTCAAGAGACTCGACCGCAAGCTGACTTGACCAGAACTCGCCGCTCTCCAAATTGAGAACGGCAGTACAACTCCATTTTAATCGAAGATGTGAGTTTCACTATCCTGACGTACATGATGAAGCTGACATGTAGGTCTCACGAAAAAGTATGGTTCTCGCGGTATGTATCCAATTCCTCTCTTCAGCTTCCTCAACACATTCTCACGCCCAATGACAATGCACGAGGTGTAGGGGGTTATCGAGGGAAATGAAGGATTAAGCTGATATCAAGTCCCCGTAACTACGGTAAAGGTTCTCGTCAGTGTCGTGTCTGTGCCCATCAAGCGGGTCTTATCCGGTATGTCTTCTTCTCCAGTAGATTGATCGAAGCTGACATCGATAGGAAATGGTACGCTTCTTTTTCCACTCTCTAGCCATCAATGACGGTCCACCTTCGCTCGGAGATATTGACCGTTACATCGAGTCTGATACTCACCGGATAGGCACTGAGTCTGACGAAGATGGGAAGGAGACGAACATGTTAGAAGCGGACGTATGGATATGCTGACGCTCCAGGGGTCTCAACATGTGCCGTCAATGTTTCCGTGAAAAGGTGTGTTTTGACGTTGTATTCGGAGGACAGAGCTGACGTCTTAGTCACTAGCTATGGGCTTCGTCAAGGTCAGTTTCATCTACAGTCTTCCATGTCATTATGGCTGTGTTCATCCTTGACCTGAAATATATTTGGAGATAAGCGGGTGGTCGGTGAGGTGAAAGAAGGCTGACAATGTAGCACAACTAGAGTGATAGTGCTGTCTCTAGATTACAAGTAGGACGAGGAGTGGGCATTGGATCATAGCTGTAGTGTACATTCGATGGCATTTTGATTCATCCTTTCTCTTTGCTGCTCTTCAATCTGTTACATGTATGGACCAGCCTTTGACGTCTGCGACCATTGAGTGAGATGCGCAGAAAAAGAAGGCGCATGGTGTCATAGTGAGATTTTCGTTGTTGAGGGGGGATGAGCCGCCACTGTAGAGCGAGCTAGCGGCATCAAATTGCTTTGTCGGCGTTTCGACAACTTTTTGACCTCGCCTTGCCTCCCTCGGCCGGTCTAACCAATTCTCGCCAATAATTCGCCCAAATTTCAACCCCAGTAGTCTCTCCCTTCTATCCCCGTTACAGCTATATCACTCCCACTCTCATACCCCCTCGCACTCTTTCTTTCTTAGTCTCATAGCCTCTTGGGACTGTTGTATCACTATTCACTCATCACCTCTTTTTCATCTTCTTTCTTACATCTCGAAAGATCTATCACGGAAAAAAAATTGTATTGGTGCGGAAAGGAGAGAAATTTGTGAGTCCGACTTGCATGAGTATCACATCCCCCCCCCCCCCCCCCAAAATCCCTACATTCGATCACCTCCATAAGTCTCCCATCTCCATATATCTTCAGAGATAATGTCTACACTAGCGCCCTCGTTCTCTTCATGCATAGGACTCGAACACGCGTACGACATGCGGTGAGCATTGGGCGGTGATACGACCCAAAGGTCATAAAGCCTAAGCAGGGATAGAAGGATTGATGGGGCTGATACTTGACTCTTTTTCTCCCCCTTTATATCTATACTGTCATATCTTTCACGGTCAAATCTTTTCGATAACTTTTCCACGCCCTCACTCCTCTAATCGATTGACTCTGCAATTTTTACAATCGACATATCTTGAATCTGGGAATCGATCATAGACAAAGCCACGATACACACACACACAGTCGGATCAAAATTTTCTCACAAACTCCGAGCTGTGCGTCTTGTTCCCTTTCCTCCTTCACTCTTCACCCTTTACTCGGGAATGATCTCCAAAGACTAAGATCGTCGTGAAGATAAGGAACTCTCAGGATAAAGCTCATCATCAGTCGGCCTGGGATCTTCAAAGACGCTGTGAGATAATATGACGGTGAACGCTTCACCGAAACATCCTGCGGGTTTACCTGCTTTGCCGCATCAGACTCTCAGCGACACCGACGTGAGGAAAGGGGAAAACAAGGTTGATCTTGGACATGACGCCCTGGATCTGGCTGAGACAGTGAGTCACCTGGTTCCATTATTTACCCTTTCGCTCTGTTGTTGTTTCCTTCACATTTCACTTGGTTTTGCTCGAGCTGGTCCTTCGTGATTCATTCTCCATGTATTCAGGAGACGTTGCTGGACAGGGCGTTGTCAGATATCATGCGAGTCGACTGGATGAGACCCCTTGGCTAATTCCGAAAGAACGAAGCATCAGCCAAACAAGTAGCGGACGTGAGTTTTCAGCATCAAGGCACCACACGTAGAGTTGTCTGACTATCAGCGTCTAGAGATCAAAAGATTGGAAAACGAACGTGCTCGTGTGGCTCAACGTAAAAAATTTGAGGAACAAATGCGTCAAATGGAAGCTCATCATGCTGCTGAAGAATCACAATTGGCCACTGACTCACCCCCTGGTGAAGCCGCCTCCGCACCGACAACCCCGCCTGGGGGAGGTCATTCCAGAGTCACCTTCGGATCGACGGTATCAGTTCCTGATATCGCCAAAGTCAAGGAGGCGCAAGCTCCTATTGGCACCGGCAGAGATTTGAACGGAGTGAGGAGTGTTCCAGCTAGTCGGAGGACCAGTGGTTATGGCGGTGCTTCCTTTGGCTTTGAGAAGCTCAGCTTGAGCGTCATGGAATCTAGCAAGAAAGATTGGGCGGAAGATGAGGACGTAGATGCTGAAGGTGCTCAGAGTGAGTTCATGAAAAATTGACATGACAATGAACTGACGAACAAGATTCCGTCAAATACTTAGGTATGAACGATGACGACCCTTTCCCCGGTTTGCCAAAGAAAGATCCCAGGGTGAGTAAGATAAATGAAAAAACGAATGATCAACTAATTTCAGATGCTTTCGGCCAGCTCGGCGGCTTTGGATCTTGCTCCTCTTTCCCAAACACCTCCTCGAGCTTTCGGTGCCAGACCATTCGAGACATCAATCAAAACGTCAGATTGGCCAAACTTCCCCGGCGCTCATCCCACTCGTGGCATGACCTCTCCCCTACCAGCACAGACCAACGGCGCGGACGTCATCGCGCAGGATCCCATTTTCAATGCTTCACGCAAAGCTTCACCCACCGGTATGGCCGACAGTGTCGCCAGCTTGCCTGCCATCTCTAGCAAGTCTGTTCCCGGTACACCATTCGGTCTCGGTCCTAGTATGGGAGGTGTCAAACGATCTGGTACCAGCCCGAATATGGAAAGTCTAGCTCAGAACCAGAGGGGTTACTCCAATCCTGATCTCGCTCGAGCGTTTGGACGTACAGGTAGTGGCTTCTCCTTACAGGATAATGCAAGGGTGAGTTCCACTATAGTATGTTAAATCGAGTGATCCACTAACATTAACAGCCATACGGTGCCGATCCTCTCTATGGAATGTTTGTACCAAATACCGCTCCTCTCCCACTCAACTCCGCCATAGCGGCAGCATTCGTTCCCGGTGCTTATGACAATTATGGCTTTGACGACGACGGCTATGGCTCTGGGGCACTTTACCCAGGAGGTTCCATAGGATTGAAAAACAAACGTGCCGATGCCGATCGAGAATTTAACAGGTTCGCAGGGGTCCGTATTGAAGACCTTCAAGGTGAACTGCTCATGTTATGTAAAGATCAACATGGTTGTCGTTACCTTCAACGAAAATTAGAAGAAGGAGACGCAGGTCATAGGGATATGATTTTCCTCGAAACTTATGGACATTTCCCAGAACTCATGACGGATCCATTCGGGAATTATCTTTGTCAGAAATTACTAGAATACTCGACGGACGAACAGAGGTCAGCTATCATCGATTCGGTAGCCAATGATTTAGTCGCTATTTCTCTCAATATGCACGGGACTAGAGCTGTGCAGAAAATGGTAGACTTTTTGTCAGCTCCAAGACAAGCGAAACAGATTCGAACTTTGATTTACGCTTTGAGTATGAATGTGGTAGCTTTGATCAAGGATCTTAATGGAAATCATGTGGGTTTTTGTTTTCTCTTCTACTTCGCACCCCATCCCCCCTCTTCCCTACCACCCCCTCTTCCCTGCCATTCCCTCTTACCTACCATCCCCTCTTCCCTACCATCCCCTCTTTCCTACCATCCCCTCTTCCCTACCATCCCCTCTTCCCTAC